GCAGGCCTTCATAGAACCGGTCAACTTCAGCCTCTTCAGCACCAGTGGTTGGGGCACAGACTTGGACTCCTGCGATGCTGAATGGTTTGCCTTGGATTCGAACCGAGATCATTCTGTCATTTTGGAGATTGTATCCCAGTACTGCTTTTCCTACTCTTTTATTGACTATGAAGGCTGCTCCACTTCTTCTGAGGGATTCTTGCCCACAGTAGTATACCTGATGGTCATCTGAATTAAATTCATCCATTCCTGTGTTCTTTCGGCTCTGACCCAGTCGCTTCACTCTTCCTGGCGCTACTAGTACTAGCCCTCCGCTCTTCCCTAGTAGCGCATTGGACACCTTCCGACCTGAGGGACTCATCTTCCAGCGTCATCTCTTTTTGTCTTTTGGGGCTGTCCATGGGGTTTCATGGCAAGGGTACTGGAGTGGGTTGCCATTTCCTTCTCTGGTGGATCAAGTTTTGCCAGAGCTCTGCTATGGCCTGTCCATCTTGGGTGCCCCTGCATGGCATAAGCTCATTGCTTCATTGTGCCACACAAGCCCCTTCACCACAGCAAGGCAATGATCCATGAAGGGGGAGGTGGTTCCTCTGCCTGTGAAAACCTTGTTCTGCCCCTGAACCCGTGGCCACTTGGCTCCGGGGAGGGGGTCCTTTGAGGGGAAGGAGGAGCCGCACCTTCATGTTTTCCTTGCTCTACTCACCAGGCCGGCATGGCGTTGCCCTCACGCTGGTGACGCAGTATGACATCCACCTGGTCCATGCGATTGAGGAGCAGATCGGTAAGTGGGGAGCGGGAGGTGGGGCTGCAGGCACGCGCACACCTCCCTCTGGTGCGTACGGCAGACTCTGGCTGCTATGCGCTTGCCTGAGTTTTCCAGCCTTTGCACAGCGGATATCTGAAACATAGTGTGGGTTAGCTAGCTTTGCATTTAAGTGTTTCTGTTTGGAAGCACACGGGGCTTTCATACATTTCTCACCTGGAGAGGATCCCGGACGGTTAAGATAGCCACCTGCATGTGTGCAGACCTACCACAAAGGTGGAGGCACAGGTGTAGCAGGAGATGCTTTTCATCTCCAGCTCGGCCTGAGCCAGGTGGAACAGAAGGGCCATGAGGTCCAATAAGACGAATGTTGCGTTTTTGGGGGTTGGTTGGAGCTGAGAGACCTGCAGAACGGTAGTTCGAAACCGCAAGATCCCGTTTGCCCTGCAGGGATGAAACTTCAGGAGTTTTCCGTGGAGGAACGAGCCGTGCTGGAGATCCTCACACAAGTGAACGTCGTTCGACGAGAGTGTGAGATTGTGAGTGCTGTGCGGGCGGGAAGGAGGGGGGGCCACAGAGGGCTGGGAAGAACTGGCCCCAGGCCTCCCACTGGATGGACAGGCGGCAGGGCTTGAGCCTGGAACTCCCCCATCCCACGGTCAGCTTTGCTTGGTCCCTCGCCCCCGGGACTCTCTCCTTGCTTGGCAGGGGCAGGAGTGTGTTACTGATGGAAGCTTAGCGGAGTTTTTTCTCTCCCCCCTGCCAGAGGCTGGAGGCAACCGATTTTGACGAGAAGAAGGAAATCAACAAGCGGAAGCAGATGATCCTGGAGGGAAAGGTATGCCCGTTTCCGCTGAGCTGTGCAATTGGCCCTTCAGATCGCCTTGTCCTGCCCGTCAGGACAGGGCTGGAGATGGCCCGCGGCCCCGATCCCTAGCTGTGGCCCTCTACAGCCAAGGTGCACGAGAGATGCTCCCCACGGTGGCCCAGTGGGGAGCCGAGCCCTGAGCTGCCGCCTCACCATGCAGGCCTGATCCAGACCCGGCTGGGCTCCTCCCTCACCTTTCCTGGTCAGGGATGAAAGAGAACCGCTGCCAGAGCCGATGGCCTGAGGAAGGTTCCTCGAGGTCCTGGCTCACCCGGGCCCGCTCTCCCATGCGCAAGCACGGCCCTTGCTAACGCGCAAGTCCGGCTGGGGAGGGCGGGCTGGTGCGGGAAGGAAGCTCAAGTGGGGCAGCCGGTCAGGGCGGGGGCTCTGCCTGCCTGCGGGTGTCCCAGCATCTCTTCCCCGCCCCCCTTCCCCCCTCGGCAGGATCCAGACCTGGAGGCCCAACGCAAGGCTGAGCTGGCCAGGATCAAGAAGAAGAACGTCGCATTCCGCAGCCGGGTCCAGCAGGCGCTGCAGGAGCAGCAGCAGCAGCAGCTGCAGCGCAAACGGCAGAAGCAGGCGCGGCGGCGGCAGAAGCAGGGTGTGGTGGCAGCCAAGTGACCCAGAGCGCCCCCCCACGGCCTGGGGGCAAGAGACACTTGCAGGGGCAGGGCAGAAGGCCGCCATCCCGCCCCGCTCCAGCCGGGATTCCCTCCCAGCCGGAGAGGAGAGGAGCCCTGCAGAAGCCCTGTGGGGCGAGGGCATTTTCTCGTCTTCCCAACAAGCTCAGGGGAACCGAGGCCCGAGCGATCCCCGCAGTGTGGGGCAGGTGGGGAAGTGCATGTGGGGGGCCCGGCGTTTTCAGGTGCGCTCTGGCCGGCTCGGTCAGCCTTTCCCTGCAGTCCCCGGACCAGCTGGACTTGGGGTGGCATCCACTTATCCAGAGGTTACCGGGTTGATCGACACGCTGCCTTCTTCAAGACCTCTGTGGTCGGTTGTGCTGCGGTGGGTGAAGGGCTGTGTGCGTGTCCCTTAATCCCCCAGGACAGGTTCTGTGTGGGTTGCTCTGGACCCCGGAGACGCTGCCGTCTCCAAGCAGCATCTGCCCAAGGTCGCCTGCCTTGGCTGGTTGTCGCCACCCTTAAAGCTTCCCCGAACCAGCCGAGCCATCTAGCCGAGCCCTCTTGCATAGGGCCAGCTCTGTCAAGACCCCTATGCCACCCGACCCTTGGCAGCGCCAGAAAGTGGGTGAGCAGGTGCACATGGGATGAAAGCACTGCAGCATGTGCCTTCAATAAATTCTCCACTGAAGTGGGAAAAAGACCGATGTTCCAGCCGTCGCTCCGTCTGTACCATTCTTCCAGTGCAGCCGAGATTCTCTTCTGCAGCAGGAGAAGCGCTGCTCCGCCATCTCAAAGGCACACTCTTGGCGCAAAGGTTCAGGGTTGCGGTCCAATGACAAAAGGCAGGGTAAAGAATTCCCGGCATGGCTGGTTTTTCTGGGCACTCGTGTTGATGTGGATGATTAATTCCCAGGCTATGCACCAGTACAGACTTCGGTGCTCTCACAGAATCCGCATCAAGACAAAACTCCCTGATGCATCCTTGGTTTTCTCCCAAGCTCAGAGACTTCTTCAAAGGAGAGGAAATGCTTTTCCGGGCTCACCTGCCTCACTGTGGGCTAGAAGAGCAGAGGAATGTTTCTTAATTTTCTTTTCCTTCCACAAAGCTGATAGAAATTGATGTTTGTTCAGATATTTTGGCTTTCCTTAAGACACAGATGAGCAATTTGCAGCCTGGCTTTCCCAGCTAATCTGAGAAAACGCGTCAGTTTCCCCTGTTCATACCAGCAGGGAAATGTGAGTGTGGCTTGCAATGGGTGGACAAAACTTTTGCCTTGCCGCCCTTGGGATTTTCCCGCAGCGGTGACGGGCGTATTCCCACTGTTGGCTCAAGATAACTTGAGGGGAGGGCAGGCTTTAAGCTTGCCCCTCCCATTTACCCAGTTCCCGCTCTTTGTAGGAAATGGTGGTTTGACCCAGTGCGGCTGCTGCCGCATCCCCACGCACCCATGTCCAGATCTCGGGCAAGGAGCGGGGACTTAAACCCGTGTCTGTTAGGAGGGGTAATTGTGTGTGTGAACATATGGATCTGGGCACCCGCTTTTGCTGTGAAATAAGCCTCTAGTCCTCATGCCTTTGAAGAGAAGCACTGCAAGGTCTCTTCTTTTCCCAGGGAGCAGAGGGGGCCGGCAGGGGAGCGGGAGGGATGTTGCGAGATAACCAAGGTTGAGTTTGGATGCCGGGAAGCACTTCCTGACTTTCAGGACCCCGAGGGTGTGGACTGGGCTTCCCCGGGAGGTGGGTGAGGCCCCATCGGTGCGGGTGTTCAAGGACAGGCTGGACACGCACATGGTGGGCATGTCGTGAGCGGAGCCGGCTGGAGCCTGGGGTCAGACTAGATGGCCCGGGGGACCCCTTCTGGCTCGCTACATCTCTCTAAGCAGACAGCTCCACAGCTGAGCTCGGTTCCCTTGTAAATACTGTCCTTGCTTCCCGGATCCCAGAGTCCCCGCTCTGATCTTGCTCATGCTCGGTGCACGCCTGCCTGCCGTTGCGGGGATTGAAGCAACGCCACCCGGCCAGCTGTGTGCATCTTCCTCCGGACCCGCGTTCTGTTCTGCGGCTGGAGTCGTGGGAAGCCCGCTGTGCCCTGGCTCCCGCGTGCGCCCCAGTACGGGGTGTGGCCGGGAGATGCACGGCCGAGCATATTAATGCGGGCCTGCCGTCTCCGCATCAAGAGACCGCCCTTGATCGGGGCCTCGGAGGTGGAAGGGCGGACTCCTCCCGGGTTGCATGCACAAGCGCACGTTCCCTGCGCACGGAGAAGTTCGGCCGGCACCTGCCACTCACTCGGTGCACCATCCGCTCCTCGCAGATGCTGCCTGCGCTCAGCAGAGGTACTCGAGGTGCTTTGGTTGCCATGGACACGGTTCCCAAGGTAGCATCTCAGCCCGCACGTGTCTCCCCCCCCCCCCGATGTGCACCACCCCATTTTTGCTGCAGAGAAGACTGAGCGTGCAGCAGCGTGCCTGTTAAAGCAGAGGAAGGGTCGCACCGCTGGTTGAGCGCGGGAGACTCGTGCGCGGGCAAGGGAGGGCGCCGCCACCACTCCGACATCACACGGGTGCTGATGCTTCCCCTGCCTCTAGCCACTTCTGGGTGCCCATTTTCCTTCCACCTTCTGAAAACCTGACTAGCGTGGCTGCTTCCTTAAACTCATGAGGGCTAGCGGCTTGCTTTTGTAAATTCAACACATGACTAGTCCTAACTTTAGGAATAGTCCTAGTCCTGACTAGGCCTTATGCTAATAAAAGATATACTTGGGAATGTGTGGCTAAGTACAGGCCTCCAGTGGTGCCTAGAAGCAGCCGAGCAAATGGAAAAGTGTCGACGGACTAGCGAACACGGCCAAATGTGGGCGGCTTCTTTTGCCAAGTCCCGTCTGGCAAGGGAAGCGGCTCAGCTGCCATGCTCAGGACTGCCACGGGTCCCCCCCTCCCTCCCTCCTGTCGGCCTTTGTCCCCGAGCCGGCTGCAGCTTGCTTCGGGGGACAAGCCTCACAAGACTCTCTCTCCAAAACATCAGAACCCAAATGGGTTCTGGGAAGATCTGGGGCAAACCAAAGGAAGGACTTCCGCCCACTGCACAGAATAGAAATTAAGCGGAGTAAAATCCACCCATCCCTTCATAAATGGGATGTGATCCTACAAAAGCCCCGGCAGTGAGAAACGGGCAGGATTTGCCCTTCCCTGCCACCCTGACCCATGGATGCGCTGTGGAGATTTTGCCCATGTGCAGCGGTGCTCTTCCCTGGGCAGCGTGGACAGAGCAGGTCAGTGGCCACGAGGGGGCGGCGCGCCTCCCGGTCCCATTCCCGGACCGGCTGCCTGGAAAAGGGTCAGGCCGATCAGCCCCGCAGAGCTGCTGGCCGCGCTCCATCCTGCTCCCCTCTTTCTCCAGCCTGGGAACAGCGCCCGCCCATGTCTTAAAGATGCCGGATGGCGGGCACCTGCTCTTCAAAGTGGGAGCAGACAAATTAACACTGGAGCCCTGTGAGGGAGGCACACGGCCCGAACTTGCCGAGCTGCCAGAAGAAGGGGCCTGGAACCTTCTCAGCATCCCAGGATGCTCCTCTTCCTCGGAAGCAGTGCACTAGGCTGACCCAGTCTCGGGATTCCTACTGGGAAGGGTCTCCCAGACTCTGGGAGAGGGGCCACCTGCCCTGGCCTAGCCCCGCCTTTGAATGCAGAGGTTCCCTGGGGCTTCCAGGATTGGAGACAGGTGACAGGGGAGCTGCCACAACTCTCTGTCCGAGATGCTGCTGCCGATCAGAGTGGGGAACATTGGGCCGGCTAGGCAGACCTGCTTCTCACACTGCTGCCAGAGTGCCCCAGCTCCCGGCTCAAGCAGTTGTCCCTGTAGCCCAAACTGGGGGCTCTCCTGAAAAGGAAGCTGCCTTGTGGTTGGAACACGAGACTTGGTTTCCTTTAAAACATCCTGGGTCCTTCCTTGGGCTTATTTCAAAAGGACACCCACGTCTGCTCACACTGACATTGGGAATGCTCTATTGCAGCCTGCCTCACCCCGGTAGCCTCTGTGTGGGCTGGGGATGATGAGCGTTGTAGTCCAGCCCTTCTCAGGTCGCTGCTTTGGGGAGGCTGAAGTAACAGGAAGAGACATCTTACAGAGGATGAGCAGCAAAATGGTTCCTGATGCGTTTGCTGCAACTGATGCCAACAGTCTTGAAAGGTGCAGTTTAAATTATCCAGAGGCGCTCGAGATTAAAAGGTTTGGGCGCCAACACGACTTCGTGGCTAAGCGTGGCTGCCAGGAAGTCCTGCAGTCCAAATTGCGCCAGCTTTTCTGATGCTCTTTATTAGATTTCTTTGGCACATCACTGCTGTTTTGGCCCCCAAATGCATCCCCATCTCCTCGCTGCAGCCAGAAGGAACGGACATCTCCAAAGGAGCTGAGCAGACAGCCCTGGGGGGAGGCTGGCTCCAAAGACCTTCCCGATTCTGCCCCACATTTTCTGGCAGGGGGAACACAAGGGAACGTAAGAAAAACCCTCCAGGAAGGAGTCCGGTGTTGGGTCACACCGTGGCCAAGCAGCTGCTGCTGGAAACCCCCAAGCAGGACCCCCAGCCCATGTTCCCCAGCAATGGGGCGTGACCCATAGCGATCAGACCCGGGAGCCACAGACAGCCCTGTCCTCGGTGAATGTGCCCGGACGCCTCCCAGAGCCCTCCTCGTGTGGCAGTGAGTTCTGCAGCTTTTCCACCATGTGAAAGCCCTTCCCGTCCTCAGAGCGGCATCTTCCATCAGTTTCTGGGATGCTCATACTCTGATTCGGGTGCCAGGCAAGACAAGCCTTTGTTCTGGCGCAGCACTAATTTTGGGATCTCTGTACAATATGCTCAAGTCTTGAGGATGCCTTGCTGGACAGGAGCAAACCCCGCCAGCCCTGTGCCGGCCTCACGTGAGACAGAAATAATCCAAACTGCATCGGGTTAGACATGGGACGGGTCAGCTGTTCTGCCACACTGGCATCCACACGCTCCCCATATCCATGCTGATGCTCCTCCTTGCCTGGCCAGATGGACAGGCCGCCGTTGTCCTTGGCTTGCACGGTGGCGTCTGCTCTGCGAAAGCGTGAACGCGAGTCGGCAGGACGTGGAGAGGACATCTGGACCCCCTCAGCTCGCCAGCTGGGAGGCCTATACAGGTCTTGCGCCTCGTCTTCGGCTAACGTTCCTCATCCCTGCCGGGGGACAAAGATCTTTGCTGCTCGGCTTTCGCTGCACGCATGAAGCTCAGCACGCCCCTGGGAGCGCAGGCAGCCTGTGCCACTCCAGGCCATTACTTCCCCGGGCAGAAATGGCCCAGATGGACCTGAATTAACAGCAGGGAGCGAGAGGGGGAGGACGGGGATGCCTTGGCGGTGATCAACTGCTCCGTCTAGCTAAGCCCAGGATGGAGAGTGCGGGATGGTGCAGAACAGAAGCCTTCCTTTTCTCCTTCTCTGCATATAGCATGGCTCACTTACACAACTCATTGCCACTGGCTGGGTGGTTTATTGGTTTTTACAGTTGCGCTTGCAAATAAATTAGAAAACCCCTGAGCCCAGGCTGGCCGCATCCCCCGTTGAAGGCTGACAGTGAACGAGGAAAAAGCAGTAACGGGGAAGTCTGCATGCTACAGACATGGTTCGGCTTGGCACGCTTGGCTCTTGTACATTCGCTCGTGTGAGGGTGCGCAGGGGTCCCAAGACTGCTGCGTCCTTCCCCTCACCCCAATAGCCCATGCTTTCCCAGCTTTTGCGTGGGTGTCCCCAGCGCTCATTCCAAGGGGCAGAAGTGTCTCTCATGAAGCGATTTACTGATGGCCAGAGCTCTAGGCTAAGGCAAGCTGGTATTTTTGCTCACCATTTTGACAGAGGGCACGTTACAAATACTTTAAATAAACCGGAGAGGGGATAAGCACACTTCTTTCTCCAGCAGGTTGGGTGGATTTTGCCCCCGCCAAGCAGCGGGGCTCGGTGACCCCGTTTTGAGGAGATGCACGGCAGGCTGGGAACATGCCGGCAACTGTGCTTTGGAAAGGATGGCATGGGAGTGGAATAGGTTCGGGCTTTGCTTGTGCGGACCCCAAAAGAATACAAAATGGCTCTGCTGGAAAAAAGCTGTTAAACAAGCGTTTGCGTGGCTCCGCTGTATTGTGGGGACTTTCAAAGCAGGGAGCAGGAGGTGATGGGGTTTTAAGGTTTTAAGGGGGAGGGTTTTAAGCTTTGGCAGTGGCTCCGGGTGATGCTTGGGGCACCCCTCTAGCTGTCCAAGGTCACAGCGTGGCAACCGCAGGCCTGATGGATTGCCAGCAATAAGCAGCCGAGTTAATTAAAACGCAGCCGGTTGGCTGAGTGGCGTTTGGGCTGAGTTGATTTAGGGTTCTGTTGTCCCCCAGCAAGTGCCAACCCCCCCCCCCCCAGGTCAGCCGCACATCTAACACACATGCCTCATCTTCCTGAAGAGCTTGGAAAGATTCACTGGCTGGCAAGGGCAGGACACCAACAGAAAGAAGCTTGGCTTCTTTCATCCTGCAAGGAAACATGCGGATGGCGATTCCACAGGCAGCTCCTGACAGGGGGAGCTCCTCCACCCCACTTTATTTCAGTTTTTGAATAAGGCTACACCACCTCCCTCTGGGCTGGGTGAGAAACGGCTGGCGGCGAGGAAGGCCGAACGCCCGCCAAGCCTAGCTCCCAAACCAAGCCGCTGGCAAGTAACGCAGCCGAAATCTGGGATTGCGGTGAATGTTCTCCAGTGCTTCACCCAAAGAGGAAAATCCGCTTCTTTTCTAGCCGGCTGATGCCTTGGCTTGGCTCATCTTGGAGGGTTTCGAGCAGCTGGGCAAAAGATGCCCTTCTTTGAAAGAGGATACCCTGCCCAGGGCTGGCAACGAGGCTTGGCATGGGTGGAAACATGCTGGGGACACACACCCCAGCAGGGGCACACTGGCAGGAGCCCCAGATGCGTAGCTCTTGACCCCATGGCCACCTGTTGCAGCAAAGCAGCTGACCTTTTCCAGTGAGCAAACCCATTAATGCCAGTCGGAGTCGAGTTTGTCCTGGGCATGGCACTTTTCAGTGGCTTAGATGAGGGCTGAAGGGAATTTGCAGAGGACAGAAAATACAGCAGGAGTGGCTCACATCTCAGATCAGAATATCATTCAAAATGGCTGAGAGACCGAACGACAGACGGAGTCCAAATGAGCAGAATGACACACAGCAAAAGGTTGCACTTAGTCCATTAAAATATGCAGGCTTCGGACAAAAGACGGCGTGGCTTGGAGATGGCAGCCCATCGCGAGCCCAGTGAGACCAGCTGGGGCCACTGCGGTTTTAGCCCGCTTTTCTAGAGTCACAGTTTTCAGGTCATGAGGCCTAATGGTTCCACTTTTCCCTGCAGCGATCCAACCTCACCCCGAGCAAGATGCCCAGCTCTGACATTTCAGGATAAGCCAGAGCAGGTTTTGAGAAGGATACAGAAAAGAGGACCTGGAAAGGAGTGAAGGAACTAGGTATGTTTAACGAGGCTTCCCCTTCCCCTTCCCTCCTCCTGGGTGACTGTGATATGATCGGCTGCGGCTTTTTTCTGCCTGCTGAGTTTCTCCATCAATAATTGAGTGCTTCGCATTCTCTGCAGATCCCCTCCCTGCCTCTCTGTGCTGCAGTTGCCAGAATCTCTTCTGAAGCGCTGCTGGGGAAGTCCCGCAGCTTCACCTTTGCCCCCACAAAACTGTCACCGTCACGTGGCGGGGAGGGAGACGGGAGCAAGAACATGTGCTTCCCGCTTTGCCGGGGATGAGCTGCATGCTCAGAAAAAGCCTCCATGGGAAAGCAGAGGCACAACCCTGACCCCCTTTGCCTGGGGCGCATGGTGTCAGAGCGTTTTTCCCTCCCCAGCGAAGAGTTCCTTTCTGCCAAAATTATCTCCTTGCTTGCAAGGGGATGGGGGAGCAAGAGGGAAATTGTGGGGTTCACATTCAGCGTGCGTGTGACGGCCGCTGCTTTTGAACCGTGGGCTGTGGCATTGCCAGTTGGTTGCCTGTGGTTGGCAAGCCCAGCTGGGTTCAGACCACAGTTCAGCAACCAATGCTTATTAATGCAAAGATGAAAGGAACAGATGGATATTCTCTGGGGGGGGGGAGAGAGAGAGAGAGAGAGAGAGAACTCACATAGGTACGAAGGATGAGGCAAAGTGATTGGCCGAAACACTTGGAAGGACACGCGTTGTCCAACCGTCTTCTAGAACAGCCTTCCCCAACGTGGTGCCCTCTGGACTTGTTGGCGTGCACCTCCCATCATTGGCTGGGAATGATGGGACCTGGAGTCAACACCACGGCAGGCTGTTATGGCAGACTGCGCTGGGAGAGATCGAGCAGGCAGCTCGTGGTGAAGGAAAGCTGGCGTGCCAAGCTGTCATTGCTTTTGTCTTATTAAATCCGCCATCCAAAATTCATCGGGGTGCTTTTGCACAATCCACAGGTCCAGCTGCCTCTGTTCCACAAGGGGAAGCCTCCAGCTCTTCCGACAGCTCAAGGGGCGGGGAAAGACCAGGGGGCACGGCCAGCCCCAGCCGCTGCCTCCCCCCCGGCTTTGCACAAAACCATACGACGCGTGAGTTGTTTGCAAAATCGATGTGACAATCGCCACTAGCTCCGCAGTTGTTTCTGGGGCTAATTTGGAGAAAGAAACGTGTCGCTGTACATCAGCTGTGGCCAGCCCAAAGGAACCTCCGTTCTGGGGGGCGGCGTCCCTCACTCCTGGATGTGGGAGGTGAGCCACCGTGGGACCCCGGCCAGCCAGGCACGAGCTTTGCGGAGGCAACTGAAGGGAGGCCGCTGAGCTGGACAGGTGCTGGGCTCTTCGTCTCTCCTTACCTCCCAAGTCGAGAGGGCAGGAACTTTACAACAAAAGCCGAGGTCCACCTGGCCAAGGTATGCCCGGATGGTTCTGCTGGCACCACTGCAGCCTCCTTTTCCCCTGGGAGCTGGTGTCTCTGGATGCGTTGCTCCAGCTCCGGCGCCACTTCAAGCATCCTTCCACGCACAAAGCACGAAACACTCCTGTGCTGCATTTCCACTGGCTCCAAACCTCTTCTTGGGTCATTGGTGCAGAGACGGTCTCTTTGCAGGGAGAAAAACCTCGCTGGAATTGTGCTCGTGACCCGCCCGGCTCACACGCCTGTACACGCTTTTAGGAGAATGCCTAAAAGTGCTTTTAAGAGTGCGTTCTCTTTCCCTCTCTAAGCAGGAGAGGGGGCATTTCTGCATTTAGTGCTAATTAATTGCATCCTGGCAGGATGCCAGATTGGCAGCTGGTTCACACTCCCCCCCCACCCCATGGAGACAGACTGTTTTCTCCAACATTCACGCCCCCCCCTTCCCTCCCCGCCTTATACACCAAAGGCCACATTCACAGATTTGTCTAACCCACTAAAACAAAGTCACTGCTTGCTTTGAAAGAACAGAGAGTGGAAGGGGCACAGCACTGGAGTGAGGGAGAAAAAGAGAAAATTACAAAGGCCCTGTCTTTTTTCCCGAAAGAGCATCAAAGCTTCCCTTTGGGTGTGTGTGTGTCTGTGTTTGGAATTCTCCAGTAATCTATAAAAAGCGATCTTGTTAAAAAGACACCGCAAGAGGGCTACAGGAAAGGCGGAGGGGATTTGGACTCCGCTGTGGGTTTAGGTAAGCAACAGTGTGGGGAGGAGTGCAGCTCTCTATCCAAAACTACAGGAGTGGAAAAACCTATTTACTGCCTCCGTCTAAGAAAAAAGGGCGCATCGTAGAAAGAGGAGCATCCAAAGGAAGCCGAGTCCTGGGAAAGAGGTCGGGAGGCGAAGTCCGAGCAACTCCGCTCCAGCAGCTGCCTCTGAAGGTGGAGTATTTGCCACTTCGCACCTGCAACCTTCGGCGGCTCTTGCTGGGGCAGCATCTTCGGAGGGCTGGCAGCCCTTCTCCCACCGCTGCCTCGTTCCCGGGCTCAGTTGCTCTCCACGAGCTTGGCCAGGTCCTGCCGCAGCTCGCTCAGCTCGAAGATCTTCATGTCCATGATCTCAGCTAGTTTGGCCACCTCCCGGTACATCCTCTTCCTCTCGGACAGGGTCTCGGACAGCGAGTGCTCGGCGAGGCTCAGGCGCCGTTCCAGTTCTGTGTTCCGTCTCTCCAGCTCCTGAGAAAAGAAGAGAGGAAAGAGTGAGCTCCCAAGAGACGCAGGGCCCGGTCCGATCCCTGGAAGAGCCAGCTGAAGGCCCGGCTGGAGGCTGGTTCCGGAAAGCCTCTGCTGCTGGGCTGGGCTGGGCTGGGCTGGGCCTCCATAAAGCTGCGCTGCTTGATCGCCTTTAGGCAATGCAAGGAAGCTAATCAGGGCACATGCTTTGGGGAAAGCCCAGGCACAACCCCAAGACACTTTCCGTGGGAACTGGAGGCAGCCCCGGTTCTTCGCTGGCAAAGAAATAACCCCCAGCACTTTCTTGTTCTTCAGCCACATCGTGAGAGCCTCCCAGGGCAACCTCTCCAAAGTGCTTCCCTGACCCGGTATCTCCGTTTACCTGCACCTTCTGGAGGGTTTCCTCACACTGGCCGTCCACTTCCCAGCTTCGCCTCTTCTGGCTCTTGAGCTGCTGAAGCTCCTGAATCATCAAGAAATGGTTTGAGAAAACAGAAAATATTATTTGCATTAATGCCCGGTGGCCAAAACCTGCCAAACCAGCTCGCCACCCCAAATTTCTTCCAGGAGCATCTGCTGCAACTGTCTAGCCTACCCCGCAAAGACTTCGCATCACGGCAAACAGAGGACATGTTGGCTGGGTTCACACGATGGCACAAGCCCGGAGTGGCCCATCCACAGTTCTGATGTGTGGCTCCTCCAGCCTCTTTTGGGTTGTTGTGCTCCAAAAACGGGCCCTGTGATGGCACCCGAGCTCCTTGAGGAGAGGGGCTGCCTAGGCATCCGCTCAAGCGCTGTGATGCGGGCGTGGAAGGGAAAATGAAAAGCAGCAGCGGAGGGCTGTGGAGTCCCCCGCACTCGGGTTTCTGGCTTGCACAGCATTCCTGGAATGGGTATGCAAATGATCCAGCACTTGCCCTGTAATTAAGCCTCTGTTTTAAACAGTTGATTTAATTGGCCCCCCTGTGAGGCGAGAGAAGGAGTGGAGGCTGGCAACAGCTGTCAATGGGAAAAGGAGCACAGTGCAAATGGGGGGGGGGGCAGGGAGCATTGTGCTAGAAAATGGGGGGGGGGTTGTAGTTCTCAGACACTGTCTCTGGGGAAAGGGGGGCTCAGCATATTCAATAAATCTGAAAAAAAAATAAAAAAATAAAATTTTGCTGGCGTCTTTGCTGCTGCGATCAGGGCAGAGGGAGGGGGGATTTGGCCCCTGCTTTTCGCGAGCACTGCAATCTGGGGTACAGGCTTCCAAAGAGCAGAGAGGTGGGTCCTTTTTGGCCAGTGGCATGTATAGTGGTGTGGATCACGGGCATTAGAGATCTGGCCAGGTAGGCCCCGGCACGGCCACCTGCAACCTGCAGGCCGAGGCAGAAGGCTGCCGAGCAAGGCAGGGCTTCTCCCCACAGCCGGCTCTTCTCCGCCACGCCGTCCCCGCTAGCCTGGTGGCTCTTTCGCACCTCCTCTTTGGCTTTTACCAGCTGCTCCAGCTCCTCCAGTGCTGGACTGGGCTCTTCCTTGGCCTCGTGGGCGGCGTTCTGCCTCCTTTCGGCCTCGAGCTCCACCACCTGTGGGGGGTTGTGGGTGGGAGTGGGAAGAAGATGGAGGCGGATGGGTTACTCGGTACAGAGGAGGCTTCGGGGGGAGAGGACCTCTGCACGAGAAAAAATACGCATTGCTGAGCTGGCACGCACGCACGTGGACAGAGATGGGAGGGCAAGAAAGTTCGAGGCAATTAAGTGGTGGACCCATGGATCCATCTGCTGATGCGCCATCTGTGGAGAAGCCTCCACAGAGTTTGCCAAGCACCTTTGTTACTGTCTCTTTGGAGCCAGGCAAAAACAGTCCTATTTTCCAGACATTTTAACAAGTGAGTTTTATTGCGTATGATTCTAAGCCATCAATTCTACATAGTTTTTAGGACTTCCATTTATAAGGTTTTAATCTATCATGCGTTAACTCTCAGCTGTTAAATCACTGCAGTATTGTTGTATATTGTTGTTACGTTGTTGTTGAACATGCTGTCGCCTTTTTGTTATTGCTATTCCTTTTATTGTCACAGGAGTTTTTTATTTTATTATTTGTTAATTGTTGTGCTGTAAAGCAGCTCGAGAGTCCCATGAGTCCGTTAATGTGGTATACAGCTAAATAACTAAATAAATAAATATCTGGGAGTTTGAGCAACTGCAGGAACTGACTTGGTTTGGGGGAGGGTTTGCTGTCTAAATTGCGCCCCCAAACTGTCTTTCTGATGCTGCCACTGCTTTTTATTCACTTTCTCCCCCTCTTTCCCACACACCACTTTTTCAAGCTTTCTGAAGGACTAGAAACTTGCGCTTTTCACCCACTGAAGTATTTCTTTATGCCAGAGATCAAGTCCTGGGCTGCACAGCTGTCAGAAGGGGGGAAGCTGCTCCAGAGGAAGGAGGGCCAATTTTGCCTATTTATTTATTATTTATTTTTTATTAAAACATTTTTATGCTGCCCCATTCGCCGAAGCCTCGGGGCGGCTTACAACAACTCCAGTGACAACTCCAGTGAAAAATATACAAGTGGAAGGGTTTAAAAGGCTCTTCTCTGTCCAAGCTGGGTTAATGATCTGAGTCATGTCGGAGAGCTTCATGTACATCTCCGTGAAATGAGAAAAATGGTCACCTTGCCCTGCCCCACTACCTCCTTTTACCAGGACAAAGATAGCGCTCTCAGGTCCCCTTTGCCCTCTTTCCACACTCCATTGCTGCAAGGCATAATCTGGAGGGGCAGGATCCTGAACTTGCCCTCGGAAGCGGAGTTCTGGTGTCTAGGGTCCCTTCGGCTGCTGCAGAGGCTGTGCCTGCTCTCTTATTCAGAACGTCGAGAGAACAGGGGCAGGGAGGAAAATTCAATTATTCAGAGGGTAATTGCAAGAGGACTCGTTTTTAGAAGCTCCTTTTTCAAGCCTGAGCAGCTGCGTTGAAAGGTGGGATGGGGAAGCAGGGCTGGGCCAGCCTGTGTGTCTTTTAAGGAGGAGACGTGGCAGAGGTCACGGTTCCGTTTTCTTGCTCTGGATTGTCTTCCCCATCCCGTGGGAACCCCACACTAGCCTGAGGCTGCAATGCACCCCGTTGCTTTAAGGATGCCCCTTCCCCATAGAACGGTCTGCTCTGAGCCTCCTAGATTCATGCCCTCCCCACAAGCTTTCCAGGAGAATAACTGGGACAGAATTTCCTCACTGCTAAGGGGAGCTCTCTCAAGCTGCCAGCAAGAGGACAGCTCTGTCCTTTCCTGGTTCCCCCACCTTGGGGTTCTTGGGGTCAGGCTGCAGGTGAGCTCCTAATGCCTGTGGGGGGCTTTTTGAGGCATGGCGCGTGCCCCCAAATAGACCACCCATAAAAGTTTCCTCCTGCTCAGAGCAAAACACTTTTCTTCTGGCAGGTGTTCCAGAATCTGCAAACATGCGTTTCCCAGGGTCGGGTTTTTGTTGCTCACACTTTCTTTTTCTGCTAGCTTTTCTTGTTTGATTAGTACCTGCCAAAACTGTGATGTGCTTTTCTCCTTTGAAGACACAGGAGATACATGTTGCAAAAAGATAATAAAACTCTCCCAACTCCAGTGGCTTCAAGGACTGCAAAACAAGTTTAAAAACAAACAAAAGCAAGCCAAAACAGCAAAAATGAGGAATCCTAGATTCTGGCCAGTGTTTAAACTCCCGTTTGAGCCTAACCTATTTAAGGGTGACCTCCTACACATACTAAGGCAGAAGAAAATCCTGCAACTCTGAGCATGCCATAGTCAGCATGCAAAAGCTGGGAGTTACAGGACATTTTCTCCTGTGCAAACGGAGCTAGGATGGGTCCCCAGACTGCTTGATTCCAAGAGCGGACGGCTCGCATTTTTGGAAGTGTGTGTATGAGCGAGGCGGGGGGGGGGGGGGGGAGAGAGAGAGAGAGATAGTGCAACTTGCATGCCCAGGAATGACAATTCCAAGCCACCCCAGGCTCCAAGGAGTTTCCCCATGAAGCGCTTGCTGTTTACTTGGCTCTGCAGGGAGGAGACGCACAAGGCAGGGCTGGGGAGAGACTTCTCCTTTGTCTGTGAAGATCGTGACTGGAGCCTGTCAAGGGGCAATTTGTCTCTCCTTGTCTAACCCAACGACCTTGGAGGGAAGCTAATTTTAGCAGCCAAGGAGCGTTTTTTACCATGCCAAGCAGGCTCTGCTGAGACAGAAGTGAGCAAAGCAACGCCATAAGCAAGCGCACAGACCCCTCCCTGGGACACAGTCACATCTAATATTCCCTGGGAATAATTCGGATAATCTGGATGCTCCAGACCCATTTCAGCCTGGAACGGGCCCCCAAAACGAGCTGAGTCACCCTGGCTGGTGACCTTTGTTGGGACGTGTGAATTCAGCCCCCCTTTCCTCCCAAGCCTCCTGTGAAAGGCCTGGACCGCCTGGCAGGGCTGGCTGAAAGCCGGTAAACCAAGGCTGAATTTCAGCCCGACAACAGTATTCGGGACAGGTGCTTCTTGGGCAGAGGAACTGGATGGATGAATGCTAAGCTGTAGCTGGAAGGGTTGGTGGACCAAGTCTCCTGGTCCTGGTAACCCATCGCTGGCAACCTCGTGGTCAGACTGCCGCTGTGCATTCTGCAGGGGGCTGCCCCTGGAGACAGATGCAGCTGGGTGGCTGCCCTGGCTGGTGAGGGAGCAGCTGTTGCTTTCATCGGGAGGGCTCCACGCTGGGTGTTGCTGTGCCCCAGAGCCCGTCCCGGGCTTTGCTATCAGTCTAGAAAGCTGCGTATGAATTAGAATTGTGGAGTACCAAGGAACGCTTTTACGGATACCTCACACCTTGGAGCAATTGCATGGGAGAGGGTACCTTCTGTTGCCCCCCGCAGGCAAAATCCCGGAGACAGGGCCTTTCTCATGTTTGCCCCTAGCTTCTGGAACGCCCTCCTGAGCAACAGCTGCCTGTGCCCAGGCTGGTGACTTTTCGTTGCTGGCTTAAACTGTTTCCTTTATGCCAAATCCTTGTTCTTGTGTGGTCAGTGTTGTTTTGACCCTGATTGCACAGGGCGTGTGGGTCTTGTTCACACTCCCATCCCTCACCGGGCTCTGATTAGGAAAGAGAGCAGGACATAAAAACCACTGAATCAGTCAGTCATCCCACAGCTCTGTGCAATGAGCCCACTGCCAGAAATGCAAAAGAGATGTACTAATTAAGCGATTTAGAATCTGTGGCGAGGATGCAAGAGGAGCGTTTGCATGAGCCACTGAGCTAGCCTGGCCAGGAATTCATTTCTGCCAACGAGGAGGGCGTGGCGTGCGCTCAGTGCTGGCCTGGTGGGCTCAGCAGGATGAGGCCCGGCCTGCGCATTCCTGGATTGCTCTCTTCCTTCCCAGCCTTGGCCTCTTGGTCGGGCTCCGCTCTTTGCTGCATGGATGGAGCCCAGTGGATCTGAGAGGCTGGAGTTCAGGTCGGTGCAAGCGAAGCACCGTTTACCTTGCCGTTCCTTAGCTGTCCTCTTCAGATTGGGCCAGGATTTGCACATTGTTGAGCTATTCTAGTGAAGCGATTCTTCATGTCAGCTACTTTTATCTCCTTTTCTTTGTGCTTGGCCCCCAGAGGGAAGGAAAAGGTAAGGAAAATGCAGAGGTGTGCAGAGTGGAAGGGTTTGCTTCAGAATTGAGAGGCGAGCCCTGACTGGACTGTTCCTTTCCTGCATTTCTGCCACATGACCACTAGGGGGAGCTGTGGGGTGGCAGGCGAGAGCACCCAGATGAGAGGAAAAGGTGTTTTCTTCTGCTTTTACTATTAAATGGTGCATTTCTCTGCTCTCAGAATTTACTCCAAAAGGGCTAGTTGGACACAGATGTGAAAATAGAGGGTCATGCCACTAACTAAGGAGCCTGTTAAGCAGGGAATGCCAAAAGAACAACAAATGTCTCTTGGAGAAAAGCTCTAACTGCTACACTGCAGTGCAACGGGGTGGCCCCTTTAGACGCTGTGCCTAAGAACGCTTGCTTACTCTCAGCCGCAGCAGCTCCGTCTCCTCCTGATAGCTGGCCAGCTGCTTCTTCCACTGGTCCACGTTGGCGTTGGCTTCATGCAGGGCAGCCACCAACTTGTTGTTGTTGTCTTGCAGGGTGAAAAATTCTGCCTCCCACTGGACTTCGCAGACGGACCTGCGGGGTGGGAGATGGAGGGCAAGGAAAGAACAGACAGGAAGGGTTTTCCTTTGCTGAGCCTCATTTAAGGCAGGTGACACAACATCTGTGTTGAAATATCAGCAAAGGAGAAAAGAGAGAGCACCGCGCCAGACACAACGAAACTGCAGTACCGTGTTTCCCCCAAAATAAGACCGGGTCTTATATTAATTTTTGTTCCAAAAGATGGACTAGGGCTTGTTTTCAGGTGATATCTTATTTTTTTCTTACGAAAGCTATAAGATTCTTGCCCCAAGAGTCCTCTACGAATCCTTTCTTGTACTTGATGGAATCGCTCTTTCTTTTCGCACTCATCTTGCCTGGGGGTCAAAGTATTATTCCCTTTAAAGCTACCATTAAATCAGGTGTTGACTGAAGACTTACGAGGCAGGAGTGGCAGCACACGAGTGCATTAAGCATGTCCGTTACAACACACGACACGTTGAATTACGAAACACGCCTGCTCGTTATCAAGTGCGCACGTTATTCGTGTGTCATGTCTGTGCTCCGATCGGTCATTCGGCAATAGGTCTCAAGTTCATCTGTTTACATGGGTGTTTCCCTCTCATCCTGAGGCACCCGCTTGGTGTTTACAAATACTATAATTTATATTATCATTTATTTTAAGTATTAATGCCAATAGTATTATTTATTTATATTTAAATATATATTATTATTATTTTATAATTCAATACATCCGTACTAAATGCGTCCATCTAGCTAACAATCTTAACTGGGCCTTATTTTTGGGATAGGGCTTATATTATGAGCATCCTGAAAAATCATTGGTTAGGTCTTATTTTCGGGGAAATATGGTAGCTTCAAGCTGCTGCGTTTCTGTCCTGTGTGTGGGGGTCTCCTGTAGGCATTGGCCCTGTTCTTCAGGGCTTGTTTCTCTAGTTTCCCCTCCACTACCCTTCCCCACACAAATTTCTCCTGGCCCCCAAATGGCATTAACATAGTTGTTCAGAAAGGGGGCCACTGCTGGGGAGGCTGTGTCCTTCCGGAAGCATCTTCTGGCCCTCAGATGAACAGGAATGTAAAGAGGAGTCTGAGGCAGAGATTGCAGCACATGGGCCAGGATATATATGAGTGCGTGTATAGGGAGACAGAGAAAGCAAGAGAGAGAGACAGGCCTTTGGGTGTTCTGGTCCCGAACTGCAAAGAATTTTAAAGGTCAAAAGCAGTGCGCCAGCAGGTTTTGTGACTGAGGGACAACAGCAGGCCATGACACAGTCCTAGCTGGCAATCTAGCAGTTGTGGTGTCATGGTGAAGAGCACAGGACTGGCACTCAGGTGATCCGGGTTCGAGTCTCCACTCAGCCATGGAGCTCACTGGGTGACCTTGGACCAGTCTCAGCCTACCTCACAGGGTTGTTGCGTGTGGATAAGATTGCGAGGACGAGGACGAGGAGAAGATAAGCCTCCTCAAGTGCCAAATTTAATAAATACATCTAGGTGGGCGTTTCAAGATTGCCTCCCAGGTGATGTTCCCGGCATCCAAGCACGGCTGCTGCCATCCCGTCCGCCATGCTCACCCTTCCGAAAGCATCTTCTTGATGCGCTCCCTTTCTGTCGTCATCTCCGTGTCGGCGCTCTGGCTCCGGAAGAGCTTGTCATCTCCGGGCCCGTTGGCACTGATGATAGGGCTGGGCAGAACCTGTGGAGCAGAGGGGTGTAGGGTCCAGCTCAGGAGCGGTGGGGAGTCTATGCCCCAACAGCTTCTCCTGGCTCATGGCAACATCCGCAGAAGCCAAGAACTCCCCTCCAGATGGAGGAAGCTCACACGCAGGCTCACACCCCTGGGCCATCCAGCCTGGCACTGCCTGGCTCCGAACTTAGCCAAGATCAGGGCTGTCCCTCAAGCGCCATCTCTCTTTTGGGCTCCTCTGCCCTGTTTGCAGGTGGGGTGTGGAAAAGGCTGTGCATGCGAAGTGAGGGCAAGGAAGAGCTGGAAGGGGCCCTGGAGGCCATCAGGTCCACCCCCTGCTGTCGCAGGGCACCAGGTGACACCCTCCCACTCAGGTGGCTGCCCAGTTTCTTTCTGGATGCCTCCAGTGTGGGAGAGCCCCCACCTCTCCAGGCAGTGGGTCCCACTGTCCTATCGCTCTGACCATGAGGAAGCTTTTCCTGATATCTAGCCTGAATCTGAGCTGATAGTTCTGCATCCTACACTCTGGTATCAGCAAGAAGAGACCTTGGCCTTCCCCTTTGGGATAGCTTTTGAGGTAGTTTATGAAGGCTATCCCTTCAAATCTTCTCTTCTCAAGGCTGAACAGGAAGGGCAAGTTCCAAGTTCTCTCAGTCTCTCCTCATAGGGCTTTCTTAGAATCACAGAATAGTGGAGTTGGAAGGGGCCATGAAGGCCATCAAGTCCAACCCCCTGCTGTCGCAGGACACCAGGTTACACCATCCCACTCAGGTGGCTGCCCAGTTTCTCCTTAATGTCCCCAGTGTGGGAGAACCCCCCACCTCTCCAGGCAGCTGGTCCCACTATCCTATCGCTCTGACCTTGAAGAAGCTTTTCCTGATATCCAGGCTGAGTCTGGCTTGCTGCAGCTGGACTTGATTATTCCACGTCATACATTCTGTTATCAGTGAGAAGATAGCTTGACCTTCCTCTCTGTGAGAGCCTTTGAAGGAGTTATAGAGGGATGTCATGACCCCCCTCAGACTTCTCAAGGCTGAACAGGAAGGGCAAGTGCCAAGTTCTCTCAGTTTCTCCTCACAGGGCTTTCTTAGAATCAAAGAATAATAGAACAGAATTGCTGGAAGGGGTCCTGAAGGCCATCAGGTCCACCCCCTGCTTTTGCAGGACACCAAGTCACACCATCCCACTCAGGTGGCTGCCCAGGTTCTCCTTGAATGTCCCCAGTGTGGGGGAGCCCCCACCTCTCCAGGCAGCTGGTCCCACTGCCCTATCGCTCTGACCATGAGGAAGCTTTTCCTGACGTCCGGCCTGAGTCTGGCTTGCTGCAGCTGGACTTGATTATTCCATGCCGTACATTCTGTTATCAGTGAGAAGAAACCTTGACCTTCCTCTCTGTGATAGCCTTTGAAGGAGTTATAGAGGGATGTCATGACCCCCCTCAGACTTCTCAAGGCTGAACAGGAAGGGCAAGTGCCAAGTTCTCTCAGTCTCTCCTCACAGGGCTTTCTTAGAATCACAGAATAATAGAATAGAAGAGCTGGAAGGGGCCCTGGAGGCCATCAGGTCCACCCCCTGCTGTTGCAGGACACCAAGTCACACCACCCCACTCAGGTGGCTGCCCAGCTTCTTTTTGGATGTCTCCAGTGTGGAAGAGCCCCCACCTCTCCAGGCAGCTGGTCCCACTGTCTATTGCTCTGACCGTGGAGAAGCTTTTCAGCCTGAATCTGGGTTGTCACAACTTGAGTTGATCATTCCGTGTCCTACATTCTTTTATCAGTGAGAAGATACCTCGGCCTTCCTCTTTGTGATAGTATTTGAAGGATTTATAGAGGGATGTCATGACCCCTGTCTGTCTCCTCTCCTCAAGGCTGAACCTGCCCAGTTCCCTCACTCTCTCCTCACAGGGCAGTGTTTCCCAACCCTGGATCAATTCTGTTGCCCTCCACTGGACCCTTCCTAATTTTCCTGCCTCTTCCTTAAATCTTGGTGCCCAGAACTGGACTCAGTATTCCAGGTGGGGTCTGACTGGTGAGGAGCATGGGGGAACTACAGCTGCCCGTGATCACACACTTCACCTCGATAATCCAAAGCACCTTCGGAATCGTATGAGTGCAAGGGCTCTGGGAACCCCTCTCTCTGCCGTGCTGCAGAGCTCCCGCTGTTCCCCCTCCACCCTCCTCCTGCTCCCCAGGACAAGGGACTGCTTGCATTCCTCCTCCTCACGGGCTGCCATGCCATCTGCGCCCAGCCAGAACGCCACGTCCTTCACCTGCCAGGATCCGCACGTTGCCCAGGAGATCAGAGCAAAGCAGCCCTCCCTTGACTATCCTGGGGGGAGGGGGGCAGAGAAATGCACCCTGCAGGGTATCCTTTGCTCCTCCTAACACCAAAAGCTGGAATGCCCCCCCTCCCCATTTCTTCTGCATTTTGGGAGGTGTTAAATCTGGGCATCGCATGTCCACTCTGTCTCTCAGCAGCACAACATAAACCATCTTTCCAACTACAACCTCCACCTGAGCTTACCAGGCCAGGGCCTGATCCAAAGGGCCGTCTCCTCACAGATAAAATTTCTGGCATGCTTTAACACACCAGAGGCCAGGGTGGGGGGTGGGGGAAGAATGCAAGTTTCTTTCCTCAAAGAGTGTCAGTGAACCTTTTCTCTCCCGAGTTTTAGGAGGGCGACCAGAGTTCTGTTTCGGTCTCCTTTTATCTCTCACTGTGCCAAATATATTTCTAAAGTGACCCAGTTATTACGATTATGCCCCTCTCGTGGCTGCTGCCTTGATGCTTTAACTGATGCATCGCATTTGCTTTTAATCTCATTATTTTAACTGTAGGTTTGTGTTGCTAATCCGGAACTTGCTGCTTGCGGCCCCCTTTTGACTGAAAGGCAGGGGAAGGCAGTCGGAGTCCCATTCATTTATTTATGGAGTTTGAAGAAATGCACATGGCTGAAAGAGAGGCCCATGAAAATGGTAGGCGCTCTCCAGAGATTCACCCCTGGCTTTCTTTCAGCCCAAGAAAGAATTCAGAGGGGCCCAAGACCAGCCCAAGCCGGCAGCCTCAATATCCTGGGTTCAAGCACGTCCTGCAAGCAGGGGAGATATGTAGCAGAGGCAACGCAACGAGCTGAGGATGCCCTTTTGGGCTGGGTCGGTACAAGGCCTTCCGAGGCAGCAGACGGGAGTCAGTATTTGCTAAAGGGAAGTACAGCTTGATGGACATCAAGGTAACTTCCTCTGTTTCAGTGTCTCACTTTATCTCAGTGCCTATTGAGGCCCCGATGGTGAGGGTGTTCAAACTGAGGCTGGACATGCACATGGTGGGCATGTCCTGAGCGGAGCCGGCTGGAGCCGGGGGTCAGACTAGATGGCCCGGGAGGCCCCTTCTGACTCGCTCGGATTCTAAGTTTCTACGTTTCTTTACTTCATTGTGGGTTGAAGCTGCTGAAGGATTTGGGGGTGGGGTGGGGGGATAACAGTGCCCGATCCTGCTGCCCCCTCTGCTTACTTGGTGGGAAGTCAAGCTGAGCGCAGGGCTGGTCAGTTCCGTCTTGTCTTGCGATTTCTCCCTTGCTAAGCGGGTGGCTTCCTTCACCTCCTGGAACTTCTCTGCGAACTGCAAGGACAGCAACAAGGGAAAGGATGTAGCCTTAGTTTCAGCAGCCAGTTGAGCATTTGCCATTTTTCCCGCAAGGTTTTGGTTGTGTTTAAACCACATTTCCCCCGATGAGAATTGCTGGTGCTCTCAAAAGTCTACACATTGTTGGTGATCTTTCAGTGGGTGCCATAAAGGAATTATAGTAAAATGGCTTTTTAATTTTCTCTTATGGTCAGCACAGAAGGACTTGGAGAAGAGCAAATCTAGTCATTCCGGAAGAAAAGGGATTTTCTGCCCATCTGAACCAGGGATCTATTCTCTAATGGCTCATCGCTTCCAACTGCTACAAGGAAAACAACCAGATGTAGCTTCAATCGCTAAGACTAGCATAGCATTTATAATGAATTTAAAGCATGCCAAGTTGAGTGAACCATTGAACTTTATATTTTCAAAATGGAAATATTTTCCTGTTGCCTGCAGGCCTAGAGAAGGCTCCAAGTCCAGCCTGGAGCTGTTGCAGGACCCACGGAGTTTGCTGTATGTATGCTCCGCTTCAGTTTGAGACTCTGAACATGGAGATGCTGTGAATGCCCCGTGCTTGGTTTTGTTTTTTAGCCGCTTGCTTAGAAAGAGCCTTGGAGATTGAGAAAGCTTGCATTTCTTTCAGTTGGCTTACTAAAAGCATTAGGCTAATATGAATTTCACCTTCATGGATCACTGCCTTGCTGTGGCGAAGGGGCTTGCATAGCTCAGTGAAGCGATGAGCAATGCCGTGCAGGGCCATCCAAGACGGACAGGTCATAGCAGAGAGCTCTGACAAAACGTGATCCACTGGAGAAGGAACTGGCAGCCCACTCCAGCCCTCTTGCCATGAAAACCCCACGGACAGTATCAACAAGCAAAGAGTTATGAGGCCGGAAGATGAGCCCCTCAGGTGGGAAGGTGTCCAGTGTGCTCCTGGGGAAGAGCAGAGGGCTAGTACTAGTAGCGCCAGGAAGAGTGAAGCAACTGGGTCAAAGCCGAGAGGACACTCAGCTCTGGATGTGTCTGGTGGTGAAAGGAGAGTCCGATGCTGCAAAGATCTATACTCCACAGGAACCTGGAATGTAAGATCCATGAATCAAGGCAAGCTGGACGTGGTCAACTAAGAGATGACAAGACTGAACATCGAAATCCTGGGAATCAGTGAACTAAAATGGACAGGAAGGGGTGAATTTAATTCAGATGAGCATCAGGTATCCTACTGCGGGCAAGAATCCCTCAGAAGAAATGGAGCAGCCTTCACAGTCAATAAAAGAGTAGGAAAAGCAGTACTGGGATACAACCTCCAAAATGAGAGAATGATCTCAGTTCAAATCCAAGGCAAACCATTCAACATCACAGGAGTCCAAGTCTGTGCCCCAACCACTGGTGCTGAAGACGCTGAAGTTGACCAGTTCTATGAAGGCCTACAGCACCTTCTAGAATTAATACCAAAAATGGTGCCCGTATCATCATGGGAGATTGCAATGCTAAAGTAGAATTTGGAAAACTCAGCAGTGGCCACAGGATTGGAAAAGGTCAGTTTACATTCCGATCCCCAAGAAGGGCAATGCCAAAGAATGTTCAAACTACCGCACCATTGCACTCATTTCACATGCTAGCAAAGTGATGCCCAAAATCCTACAAGCTGGGCTCCAGCAGTATGTGGACCACGAATTACCAGAAGTACAGGCAGGGTTTCGAAGAGGCAGAGGAACTAGAGATCAAGTTGCCAACATACGCTGGATCATGGAGAAAGCCAGGGAGTTCCAGAAAAACATCTACTTCTGCTTCATTGACTATGCTAAAGCCTTGGATTGTGTGGATCACAATAAATTGTGGCAAGTGCTTAACGAGATGGGAGTACCAGACCATCTTATTTGTCTCTTGAGAAACCTATATGCGGGTCAAGAAGCAACAGTGAGAACTGGACACGGAACCACGGATTGGTTCAAAATTGAGAAAGGAGTTTGGCAAGGCTGTATACTGTCGCCCTGCCTATTTAGCTTATATGCAGAGCACATCATAAGAAAGGCGGGGCTAGATGAATCACCAGTTGGAATTAAGAGAAATATCAACAACCTCAGATATGCAGATGATAACACTCTAATGGCAGAAAGTGAAGAGGAACTAAAGAGCCACTTGATGTGGGTGAAAGAGGAGAGCACAAATGTTGGCTTGAAGCTCAACATTAAGAAAACTAAGATAACAGCATCCGGTCTTATTATTTCCTGGCAAATAGATGGGGAATACAGACAGTGACTGCAGCCAAGAAATTAAAAGATGCTTGCTCCTGGGGAGGAAAGTTATGGCAAATCTAGACAGCATACTAAAAAGCAGAGACATCACCCTGCCAACAAAAGTGCGTACAGTCAAGGCTATGGTTTTCCCAGCTGCAATGTATGGATGTGAGAGTTGGATCACAAGGAAGGCTGAGCGCCAAAGAATTGAGGCCTTTGGACTGTGGCGCTGGAGGAGATGCCTGCGAGTCCCCTGGACCACAAGGTGATCAAACCAGTCAGTCCTAGAGGAGATCAACCCTGACTGCTCTTCAGAAGGCCAGATCCTGAAGATGAAACTCAAATGCTTTGGCCACCTAATGAGAAGGAAGGACTCCCTGGAGAAGAGCCTGATGCTGGGAACAATAGATGGCAAAAGAAGGAGGGGGCGGCAGAAGTTGAGGTGGCTGGATGGGGTCACTGGGGCAGTGAGTGTGGGCTTGGGTGGACTCCGAGAGATGGTGGAGGGTAGGAAGGCCTGGAGGAATGTTGTCCATGGAGTCGCAGGTGCATGGACATGACTTAGCGACTAAACAAAAAACCAAATATGGATTTTGGAATGATACAAATCACCAAAGTTTAATCATGTGGTTGAGAGTGCTCCAGGTAGGTCACCTGGGTTTGGATAGCCCAGCAATCCATCACGGGGCCAATAACCCCCAGAATAGGCTGTGAGTTGTTGGGGTGTTTGGTTGCCGCCCAAAAGGCCTCACTGTCTGAAGCAGTCTGCGTTCACATGGCTCGACAACCCATAATGGCGTGTTCTTCGTGATAGGTTTTCCTATGGCACAAGCCCAGTCGATCACGTGCCCTCTCCCATCCTCCCCAGCTTCACGACATGTGTGCGAGGATCAGAGCTTACGGGAGGCCTGAATTCTCACACAAACTCTACTTCCTGCTTGGATTCTGATGCGAACTTTTCCTGGATCACTGAGATGGGTTTGCGCATCGCTTTCCCACCCTCCCGATCCCTCTCCTTCAGAGAACCGGCTGCCCAGAGATTCCCCACTTGGGGGGTTCACCCCAGGCGCCCGCCCCTGCTCACCTGGGACAGGTGTTGCTCGGAGGCAAAGCCCAGTCCATACACCGTGTTGGCTCTGCTGTCTGCCCACTGGCCAAACTTCTGCGAGGTTTTCGTGAAGGTCATGTTGGGCGTGATGGTGCTGTTGATGATCGCCTGCCAGGGTGGTGGAGAAGCAGCAAATGTTCAAAGGCCGCCCTGGACAAGATGGAGGGTTGGCCCAACCTTTATAGTGCGCTGTGGCAACCCTGGGTGAGCGGTGGCAGCGGAAAACCCTTCCAGCTGAGTCCTGCCAGCTCACCCATCTGTGGGCTCCCCATGGCCTGGCTTGTGCCCCCAGGTGAGGTGCCACCTTTAGGTACATGGGGAGACGCTCTCCCAGCACCTGCTGCTGGTTTGCACAGCAAGATCTGGAACCTGCTGGGACCGTGAGGAGAAGCTAGGGTTGCTTCCTCTTCCCACTGCGACTTCCTGATTCCCTTGCCCATCACCTTGGCCCAGGAAAAGGTGTGGGTGAGAAAGAGGAGCAGTACAGGGGGGCGACACTGCCTTTCCAGGAACGCCCGATTAGGGTACCCAGAAGCATTGGCAGCGGTGCCACTCGCAGCTTTATTTGTTTGTTTGTTTGTTTGTTTGTTTATTTCTACCCCATCCTACATGAAAATCATCCCAGGACGGCTTACAATAAGAACGATACATAAACAGAACAATAAATAAACAGCATACATAATGCCAACAAAAAAGAAATGCGGCTGCAAATATTAAAACCAGTTAAAATTCCTTAACCCTTAAAATGATGGGTAAATAAAAAGGTTTTATTTACCTTTTATTTACCTGGTGCCAAAAGGAATATAAGGTCGGTGCCAGGCACACCTCTCTGAGGAGCGCATTCCAGAGTCTGGGTGCCACCACAGAGAAGGCCCTGCTCCGGGTAGGCACCCTCTTTTCCTCCTTCAGGGAGGGTTTCCGGAGCAGGCCCTCTCCTATAGATCTTAGGGGGTGTGAGGGCATATAGGGAAGTTCCTTAGAACGGGTGGTTAAATATCGCCATCCTGAGCCCAGTGGGTCCTGGTGGCAGGTATCTCCCAACGAGCACAGCATCTGAGCAGGCTGATGGGGGATCTCTTAAGTTACTAGTCCTCTTTGCTTCAGAGCTGGAAAGGAGAACGGGGGAAGCTGGTCTCTTGCGGGGCCTCTCACCTTGGTTCCTCCCACGCTGATGATCCGGTAGACATTGCGGGTGGCGTCGAAAAAGTAGGAGACCGTCAAGGCATACTTGCTAGCCGGGATCCAGTTCCTCTTGGTGGCCGGGTCGATCTGAAAGATGTGAGCCCGGGTGCTGAAGATCGGCTGCTCCCTGTGGCGATGGGGGGAGAAGGCGTGGAAATGGAAAGTGAGGCTCTGAGCGCTAACATACATCCAGCCTTTTCTGTCCCTGCAAGCCCCCACTGTACTTGTGGGCCCCAAAAGCAGACTGCCCGTTTGGCTGGGTGGAAAAGAAGGGAAGCCTTCCAAAGGGTCCTAAAGGAGCTAAGGAAGGAAATGGGGCAGATTCTCACAGGTGGATCTCAAAGAACAAACCCCCCAAGAGCAGCCCGATTCAGGTCCCTCCTGCCTTGAATTGTTTAAAACGTATTTTAGGGCCTCAGCTACTTTGGATGCCAGTATAAGCAGGGAAAATGCCAATTCTTGTCTCGTGGACGGGGTTATTCTGGGTTCACAAGGGCTGACCATGTGGATTGTGGTTGAAACTTCAGTTACTGTGCTGTCCAAACTCAGCTGTGCTAACAAGCCATGATCGGTAACCCCAAACAACCCATGCGGAGAACACGGTTTGGTTGCTGGGCTGTGAACCGTGGGGTGTTTGCCGTGGTCTGTGATCTCGGCTGGCTGCAGACAACAGGATAAACCCACATTTCGAAAACAACCCACTCTCAGCCCATACTTGAGTGGTGGGTTATTGCATCATGCGAACCTGGTTTATATCCCCCAGAAACAAACAAAAAAAGGAAACTTTTCTCATGTTTCAGGACTTCAGCAATCCAGCCTCCACTGATAGTAACAGTTTCCAGATTAGCCAGCTCTCAATTCTTCAGGTCCAAGTTCCAGTCCAAAGAGGGATTATGAAGTCTTGCCACTGTTTGAACAAATTATAAAATGCATTGCGGCCTGCATTTTAACGCACGTCAGGGGGAATTGAAGGCCTGGAATTACCTAATTGTTGTCATTGGTTAATACTGATCGAGGAGGCAGGGTAGGCGACTGGGAGTTTTAAACGACCATCAACCACCGGGTTAGTAGTTTCACTGTGCCAAAATCCCACTCTGGCTGGGGTCTGGCGGCCGAATCATTTCCTAGCGTTGACACATGAAACACAAGGGGAGGAGAGAGATGGGAGGTGGAAAGGTGAGTCCAAACAAGGATTTTCAGAGCTGCTCATTTGTAATGACTTTTGGCCACTGTGGAAAAAGGAGGAGGAGGAATCCACCCGGTCCCAGAATGCCAGGTTGCTGCATCCCATTAACATGTACCCCTTTGGTAGCCCTGGTTCAGAAGTGGTCCAGGTGCTTGTCACATCTCAGCATGGGCACTAAATGGCAACAAGGATGTCATGTATGGGGAGTGGTTAAAAGAAAAAGGATAAAGTTATGAAGCAAGGTTTCTGCAACAGTAAAGGGAGGATCAGTGTGGGCAGCAGGCCAGGCAGAACGACCCCTGCCCAGTTCCTCACTGTCTCCCTGCCAACAGCCTGAGATGCTAAAGCAGTACCCTTCCGATTAAAGCAACATGATACGGGTTCCTAGGAGGGGAGAATCTCCCCCAGTGTTCACACCTCTGCCTCGCTAGAGCAGTCTTCCCCAGCCTGGTTCCCCCCAGCTGTGTTAGAGTACTGGTGGACTGTGGGAGTGGTAGAGATGCAAAACCTCCAGAAAGGCCTTCACGTGTCCTGGAGAACAGATGGGGCAAGGCACACAGCTGTGGCAAGATGTACTGTATCTCTATTAGTGCAAGGAGTCAGAAGTTAGGAGAGGCACTCGCTGCAAGATGCAGTGACTAGATGAAGCCCTGGAGAAGGGGAAGGCTGATGGGCCTCCTAGGTCTGAGGGCTCAAAGGCCGCCTCCCATATCAGAGGCTGGGGGCATCTTCCTGGGGGACACGATGGGAGGTGAAGCAGAACCCCTGTGCCCACAGGACTAGAACAGAACACGGGTCTCTGATTCTTGTGCATCAGAGCTCTTCATGTGCTCACAAATCATTTCCCGATTTCTAAATTCACTTCTCTGCATATAACTCAGCATGAGCAAATTTTATACAGGCCTGCTTTTGCCCTCTCTTTCTCTCTCTTTGGTGATTCACAAGCCCTGGTGATGGATACACACAAAGTTCTGTTCCCTCACCAGTGCAAATGGACTCAAAGCCGTGACAGGCTCTCCAGGGCTAGAATTAAAAGTTGAAAGTCTCCTAGGTGATCTGGAATTAAGGGGGAGTGGATGCGGTGAAGGAAAATGAAGAGCACCACTTCCATCAAAAGTGGTGCTCTGCACAAAATTGCAAAATAATATTGGAGGAGAAGTGAAGGGGGGGCGTCCTCCAACACGTGTCACCCCAGATGCACTGGACAAAATTGCCCGGGGGATGCTAACAGGTGTTGTCTAAGACTCCTGGAGAACGACCCGCAAGAAATGCGTCAGCCCTGGACCAGTGCAGCCTTCCCCACATCTGCGTGATGGACCGAGGCTCGCAGAATATGCAGCTTTCCAACAGCAGCTGCTGGATTGCCAAGCCGAGTCTCGCAGGCTTCAGCCTCAGACATCCTGGCGTGCCCGAAGTGGGCTGGAGTTGCCCACGGGCACTGGCGGGAGCTTCGTGCTTTGCTGGAGCAGGCTGCAGAGTCACTTACCAATGCCAGCCACCAGCAGGGAGCAAAAGGGCCCCCCGAGCATCTGTGCTTGTCAGGGGCGGTGGGGGGGCTCTCTCTTTCTAAAGGTTCTCCGAGGCGTGCAAGATTGGTCCGGCACTGTGCGCTTGGCTGGCCGGAGAGCGAGGAGGAGAAAAGCTGGATGTCAAGAGCACAGCAACAAGGAACAAATATGGAGGGGGAAGAAGAGAGAGGAGAAGGGGGGAATGGCCCCAGAAGGGCAGGGCAACAGAGGAGGAGGAGATGGGAAGGGGGGGAAGCATGACGGCTGCCACCTTGTGGGGATGCACGCCCTTTTCACACTGGAGAGAGAGAAAGGGGGTGCCATCAAACAATTTTGGTTTGCCTTTGCCATGGTAACTTTTAAGCCACTTAAAAATAGCCTTTGGATGTTCTTGGGCCAGCGCAGCGCCCTGCGCAACGCTCTCTCCTTCCCCCTCGTCTCCCACTGTCCAAGTGCAAAGACTTCAATGTCACACACGCATCTGTAGACACTGACAATGCCAGACTCTGCTGGGGTGCGCTGTGTGTGTGGGAGAGGCAGCGAGAGATGTGACACGGCCACGTGGACAGAAATGTACCGAAAGCCACGGCATGGCTTCTGCAAGGGCCAGGCTCCTCGGCTTTTCCAGGCTGAACTTCAGAGCAGAGGCAAAGCGTGCGTGAAAAGGAAACAAGAAGCAAAATGTGGAACTACAAGCTGTGCTGAGGAAGGACGTGTGCCGTTTCTGCCCCCAAACCAGTCCTCAAAGTCTTCAGCAAAAACCTGATGCCTCATTGCATTTCCTCCCCAGCTTGCCTCTCCCCTCCCCTCCCCTGTGCCCCCTCTTCCCTGCAACATCAGCACTACTCCACCAATCCCTTTTCTCCTCTCAGCCCTATTTGCTTATCTAGCCACCAACACACCCTGCATTAAGGAAAGGGCTTAATAATGCTGGGTTTAGCCGGCCTGGGAGAGGAGGGCTGAGGAAGGAACTCAGGGGGCTGTGCTTAGCTGTGGAATCACGCTTGGCATTCACGGCGAAGGAGGAGGAGCGTGTGACAAAGAGAGGTGAAACACAACGGGGAGAACAGCCCGGAAATAACACAATCAGCTTCCTCTACGTTCAGTTCTGGCACCTACTAGTATTCAGTGGCATGCAGTCTCTGTTTGAACACAAAACTGCTCAGGTGCCACTGCTGAGAACCATCCAAAGATTTCTCTTTCTTGGCAAAATTGCCCAATCCTCCTGTAAAACCGCCTGAGCACCTGTGGACTCGCTCCGGGTTTCCGACGCCGCTGTCGCGATTCTCACACTTCATGCAGCCCTGTCACCAGCTGCTGCTTCTGCCTGACCTTGTCACCACAAGCAAGAGGGCTGGGACACCGCCAGCCCCTGCTCCGTGCGGCCCCCGTTGCCTGGGCCGGAGTCAGGCCGGTGGGCCACCCGGCTTCCGTGCAGGACAGGGGAAACAAGCCCAAGGCCCCCTGGCCATGGGTCCCTGCTGGACTTCGGGTCTTGGCACTGCCCCCCACTCCGTCCCTCAGCTGCCCCCTCCTCCTGGAGCTGAAAGGGGTTCCCCTGGGGAGTTCCACCCTTTCATGTCTCCTCTCTTTCCCCCCTTCCCACAACCTTCCCAAAGCACCAGGCAGCATCCCTGTCAAGATACTCCCCCCTCTTTCCAGATCTGCCTCCCTGCTGAATTTAAAGGGGGCGTGAGGGCAGGAGGGGGGCTCTGATTGGTTCCCAGTGACCACCTCACCCATCCAATGGCCTGCTTTGGGGTGGGAGCTAAGGAAGAGAGATGACATGCAGGGAGAGCGGCCACTTGGCCTTCCCCATCCAGCCCCTCTTTTGGCGCTTCCTCCCAGGCAGCTGCCAGCGGGCAAAAATGCCCCTTTGCTGGGCTTCCCCCCCACCCCCAACTCGCTTCTCTTTCAGGAGGTGCGGGCTGGGCTGCTCGTGTGGGTCACTGAATTGCTGCTTGTGTCTTCCCCGCCTGCTCCCCCCACCCCCCGTGCATGAGCGCAGAGCTAAATTTTATCCCAGCCTTGGCAAAGGCCCCACCGCAGACGCCACAGCTGCTGCTGTTGCTTGCAGGCTGCCAGAGAGGCGAGAATTCGACCCAGCCAGAATTCCAAAGCGGAGCTCGGAATCGCTATCTATAGAGGATGGCGTAAGGGTGGCTGTCCTTCCGATCGACCCGGGATCCTGTTGCTGACAAGGCAATAGGATTAGCGGGGAGAAATTCCAAGGATTTTGAATCAGGCCTGTGCAACCACCTCCCATCGCTGTGATGCGCAGCAGCGAAAAGGCACGGATCTGGACCCGTCTGGAATGGTTTGCACTGGTTGCCGATTGCTTTCAAGGCTGGTATTTTTTTTAAACTTCTGAAACCCTAAACAGTTTAGGTGCGGGCTATCTAAAGGGCTGGCTTTCTGGTGATGACCATGGCTGGTGAGTCCGTTCTGCACAAGAGTCCTTTTGCATGTGCTGTTACTTGGAGAAGGCTGCATGCAGGAACTGGGTTTCTCTTCTGCTCTGTGCTTTTCAGCTCTTTCTCCGTTCCTGACATGTTAGAACAACCACGGAAGATTTTGCCTAGCCTGATTTAAGGAACAACACGAACCTGAGCAGTGGTTCAACAGCAAAAAACAAAACCCTGCAGTTTCGTATTTTAAGCCCATGTAAAAATCAAAGCATCCGCGTGGCCACAGGAATAAAGCGGAGTCTCATTTGCTGCCCTGATCTCCCCACAGCTTTCACTCACATTTGGGGAAGCCCCCGGGCTGCAGAATCTTGCTTTTCAAGGCCAAGGTCGTGCCCTTAGCTGCACAATGTCCTGGAAACAAAGCTGAAATGCATCTTAATAGGTTAGAAAACTGGGCAGAAAGAAATTTAACAGGCATGTAAAAAGTGTTTAAAGTGTTCTCTGCTGTTGCGTATACAAACCCCTCTTTGAACCCAATAGTGCTTGGACAGCCATTGGGGTTTTGATTGCTTGGGGGGAAAGCAACTGAGGGGAGACATGATAAAGGGGTACATAAATCTGCCTAAAATGAAGAAAGTGAACAGGGAAACTGGAACCCAAGTGGGGTTATCCAGTGCTGGTGGAAGACTCAGGGCAGGAGAAAGGACTTGTCAACACAGTGCAGAGTTAAACTAAGGAACTGGCCACTGCACCTTGGGTGGCTTTAAAAGGATTTGGCTGAATTCACGGAGGTGAAGACTATGCATGACCGCTAGTCCTCATGGTTCTCTGTCGGAGTTTTACTTGGGGGAAAGGCCCGCCTGTCATGCTCTCTGTCAACCCTCAAGGGAGTGGGGGAATCTCACTTCCGTGTTTTGAAGCTTTCTCTCTCCAGGGCTGCCTCCCTGGCGAGAGGCGGCGAGCGCAACCCGGAAACGTGGCCAAGGGCTGGCGGTCGGCCCACGGCTGTGCTGAGTCAGCTGGGCTGCTTGCTCCAAGGTGAGCACTCGCGGCATCTCCCCCACCCCGGCCCTGCTTTTCCCTCCAGCTCAGGCAGCCTCCTGTGGGGAAGGTGCCCCCTGCCCTGGAGCCGAAAGGCATGGCATTCCCGGGAAAGGAAAGGGGCCCGGAGCACAGTGCTGAGAGTGCAGCTGTGGAGCTGGCGAAGGCGACGGGGCCGCTTCCTGGAGGAAGGGAAGCCCATTGTGGTGGCCGGCCCTGAGGACTACAAGCCGCCTCCAGTATCCAAGGCAGCTCACCAGTGGTTGGGGAACATGGGCTGGGAGGGGGGGGGTTCTGTTGTGCTGAAGTCTTAGCTGGCAACTTGGCAGGTCATTTCGCTGGCCTCTGTGTGAAGAGCCAGATGGAGCAGGGTTCCTATCCAGCCTGGCTCTCAGCTTCCTTTGTTTTCATGTCCAGTCCTCCCAGCTGGGCTGGGGAACAAAACTGGGCCTTCTGCATTATAAGCCAGGCATTGAATCCTGCGCAGGCACCCCTTTGCCACAGCCTCGCATCCCATATTGAATACCTGATGGGGCACCACCGATGCCCTCACAGGAAGGACCTGTTGGCCACTGGGGACTCCCTCCCTGTTTTCCCTGCAAGAGATCCTAGAGAAACTCTGTGCAAATGAGAAGGCGGCTGTGCCTTAAAAATAAAGAAAGAAGGAAGGACAGGGACATAGCTCGCCAGCGACGCACAAAATCTACGTGCAGGAGATCAGTCTTTTCAGGTCATGCTGGGAAAGACCACCCTGTCTGAAAGTCCAGATTTTTCCTGCAAATAAGGGTGGAACTGACGCAAAACTGAGCTAGCAGGTTAAGGACAGTCTGATATTATGCAAGGCAACGGCCGAGGTTTTCTGTGGTATTTTCACACAGTTTCATCCGGCACCCAGTCCGTCAAGAAAGGGCTCCGCCTCCCATATTGTTCCCAAACGAGGGAACACGTGCCCAACAAAACCTTTTGTTTTTGACACATCTTTTCAATTTAGCCTTTTCAATGATGTTGCATTTGGAGCATTTGTTGTTTTCATTTTCTCAGGTTTGCTTTTAATTATTATTGTACGTTTTTCTGGTTTTAAGTTGTCCTATGCTGCCCCTGGAACATTTTTAGTGAATGAGGTAGCATATAAATAACAATGATTAATTGATCAATTAGTTAATAATAAACAGGAGACCAAGGGGTGCACCGAATTCAGAGGCTGCACTGCCTCGCCTCCCACAGACCCTCTCAGGGCCTGTGTCCCAGTGGCCAAAATTTGGCAGCAAGGAAACACAGCTTGGTTTTAAAAGCCAAAAGCATGGCTTGCCAACACAGTGGCAGCCGGGAGGGGAAAAGCCGACCTTTGAAGACGGACTCCCTTTTGCAGTGGCCACGTCACAGCAATTGGTGGCTAACCACACCTTTGACTTCTAAAAGCCATCATTATTTCCCAGGCGTGCCTGGGCAACTCGGAGGCAGGAAGCAAAAGGAACGGCCTTCCGTTGTTTTCTACCCCCGTAGGGCTGCTAACCAGGCATGGATCACGCCCCTTTCCCTAATGCCACCCCCTTTCCCACCAGTTGGTTGGCAGCTCCCCCATCTCCAAACGCTGAAGCTTTATTCTTGCACAGATAATAGCAGGAAGAGCTTGAAGTCAGGGGTAGCTGGAATTTTGGCTTCACTCTGCCCACCACAGGAATGGGCCCCTGAGAAATGAAACTTGGCCCTCGGGTTGAAAGAGGTTCAACGCCTCGATACAGTTCAACAGCTTGTGCTCCATAATGTCCAACCAGACACTGCTGGGAAACCTCCGAGTGGGACGCAAAGGCGATGCCCACCTGGCTGGCGTTTGGCACTCAGCCGTCACACTCACGAGAAGCACCGCGGCACCGTCACGAAAAGCTTCCCTGGACATCCGGCTCACATCTCCTCCCAAGTCCTCTCAAGCACAAGTGGACCAGCAGCCAGGAGGGCCAATTCTGCACATGGTGTGAAACACAAAAGTCCTTTCCCTCAACGACTCCAGAACCCACTGTCCGTCCTTCTCCTGAAAGCAAAAGTCCTCTTTCTCCCAGTCACCCGTCCTTCTATTACCCAACGTGGTGCCATCTTTTCCTCCTGCGCCTACTAAATCAAAGAGTTCATTGTCCAAACTTCCTGGTGCCAGTACCAGAAGACAGTGTCCGTCAGGTTTATGGGGTCCAGCACAGACGAGTCTACACACAACAGAGGGACCCATCTGTATCCGAAGAGTCTGGCAGCTGGGGATTGCCAGATTTCCAGATCCTACACTTGGTGTCCACCTGAACTCTGGCGCTTTCTCAGAATAGTGGCGGAACCGGGGGAGCGGGGGGCGGGCGGGTTGCATGCACGGAAGCACCAGGGGAGCCCTTGTGGCCCCTTACACACATCCATCCTGGCATAAGTGGACTGCAGCGCTTCGCGTCACATGCAGGGAGTTTAATGGGCAATTTCGGATTTTACACTCCACAAACAAGGGCTCAAGGGCCGATCATCTCGCGCTAAGTGGCCAGCTGGTTTTCGCATCAAATTCTCCACATGCTGCAGAGAAGCATTGAGCCTGGGAGGGGGTGGAGAGGAGAGGAGAGCAGCGCGTGGCAGTATCGATTTAAAGGACATCGACAAGAAAATTAATTCTCCCTTTTCTAACAAGGAGAAAGCATATCCCAGTCACGCCCCCTGGAATACCCCCCTTCCACCCCCAAATTTAAACCTTGCAATAGAGAATTTTGGAAAATCGGTTCCTGGGAGGGAACGGTAAACTTTAGGTAGGACACGCTTAAATCGAGCCCACGGTTGTCCAGGCTATGCCGCATATTTGTTCATTTGTGCTGTTTCCCCACAAAGCTACAACCCTCCCATCTGTGGCTGAATGTGACTCTTTCACAGTAAAAAGTCAAAATTGCTTCTCACCCCATCTTCCAGTCTTTCTCTTTCGGCTCTCGCTTCGATCTTCTTTCCACGCTCCCTCTTTCCTTTCCTTTCTTTCACGCTTTCTCCGGATCCGGATACTCCTCAAATTTCCTCCGGAATTTCACTTTGGAAATCCATTAGTTTGTGATGGGCAGGGAAAGGGGAGGGTAAAGATGTGTGCAGGGAAGACAGAGAGAATGCAAATAAATAAAAATACGAATAGATCCCCAGTGGGTTGGGACTGGACGGGCAGGCTGCGCGCTAGGACAGCTGACCTCTCCCCCCAACAAGAGGGTCTGCCCCTCGGCACGTCCCTTGGGACCCCAGAGAGAGGAACTTTCTGCCTCCTGCTAACAGATCCGCGTTTTCCCCCTCTTGTGTTAGAAAGAGGGCGGAAACAGGAGGCGGCTGTCAGCTGGTTTTATGCGTGTGCAGATATTTTTCCATTCTTTCTGCTGTTCCAGGCAAGCTAATAGCTTTCCCAGCACAGGCTAAACAACATTTAAAAATAAATCACACCGAAGCAGTGCCGCTTACCCAGTTTGTGTCCTTTGTGAAAGGGGGCGCCTTGCCATGCAGTGTGTTTCGCTTGATGTCTTTGTTCTCCTTTTTATGTTTTTTTTTTTTAAATTCTCTTCCTTCCTTTGCCAACTCTGCTCCTTCTCCGTCTTCTTCTGAGTTTTCTTCTCTAAAGGGGGTTTCTTTGTTGGCTCGAGGACGCCACCTGCTGAAAGATGCTCAGCTCCAACATGACATCTGCAGGCGGCCAGAGATCCTGGCCCTTTCCCACGAGGAGCTCTGGATACCTGGCCTGGAACACCTGGGGGCAAAGTGGCTGCAGGTCGGAGCAAAGCATGTTGCCTCCCAGGCGTCGTAAGTGTGAGAGATGGGATGCCAGTGTGGTTGGACTGGGGAGACTTGGCTTCAAGCCTCCACCAAGTCATGAAGCCCTCTGGGAGACTTGGGGCCACTCACCGATTCCTGCTGTAGGCCACTTCGCAGGGTTGTTGTGAGGATAAAATGGAGAGGATTTTGTAGCCAAGGTTGGGGTTGTTGAAGGATAAGACATGATATCCCTCTATAAGTCCCTCAGTGGCTGTCACAAAGAGGAAGGTCAAGATTTCTTCTTGCTGATGCCAGAGTGTAGGACACGGAATAATCAGTTCAAGTTGCGGCAACCTGGATTCAGGCTGGACATCAGGAGAAGCTTCCTCGCTGTCAGAGCAACACGCCAGTGGGACCAGCTGCCTGGAGGGGTGGGGGGCTCTCCCACACTGGGGACATCCAAAAAGAAACTGGGCAGCCACCTAAGTGGGATGGTGGAGTGCTCCTCGACCGGGAGCTGTCTCTGGAAGCCCAGGTAACGGCGGTGGCGAGGAGCGCCTTCCTTCAGCTTCAGCTGATACATCAGCTGCGTCCCTTCCTAGAGAATGACTGCCCGGCAACAGTGACACACGCGCTGGTAACTTCCTGATTAGACTTCTGCAACGCGCTCTACATGGGGCTACCCTTGAAGACGGTCCGGATACTTCAATTGGTGCAGAATAGAGCTGCCAGGTTGCTGACGGGGACTGGGCATTGTTCTCATATAACCCCAGTTCTCCATCAGCTCCACTGGCTCCCGATTGAAGTCTGGGCCCGATTCAAGGTGTTGGTTATGACCTATAAAGCCCTAAACGGCTTGGGACCTGGATACTTAAAGGAACGCTTGCTCCCATATATGCCCTCCTGCCCCTTGAGGTCAGCAGCAGATGTCCTTCTCCGGGAACCCTCTGTGAATGACATCAGGAGGGTGAGTACCCGGAGGAGCGCTTCCTCAGTGGTGGTGCCCCATTTATGGAATGCGCTCCCCAGGGAGATCTGCCTGGCGCCGTCATTATTTGCTTTTCGGCACCAGGCTAAGACCTTTTTATTTAAAACTTATTTTAATCGTTAATTTATTTATTTAACTAGGGGGTTTTTTTAGCCCAGAATGCACTGAGGTTTTATTGAGGTTTTATGGTACTGGGGGGTTTATTGTATTGGGGGTTTTAATGTATGGATGACTTTTTTGATGTTGTGAGCCGCCCCGAGTCTTATTGTGATGGGGCGGCATAGAAATGTTTTAAATAAATAAATAAATAAACTGGTGTCCTGCAACAGCAGGAGGTTGGACTTCATGGCCCCTTCCAACCCTACTATTCTAGGATTCTAAGGCAGGACAGAAATCAATTGGAAGGATCCTCAAGGGCCACCAAGTCCAAACACCCACAAGCCAGGAAACTGCCAGAACAGCATTCCTGAGTGTCTCCTTAAAAACCTCCAACCACAAAACATCTGCCCCCTTTCCAAGGCAGCTGGTTGAACTTTCCAGAGGAAGATCCCCTTACCAGTTTGGCCGGAATTTCCCCTGCAGTGGCATCCTGACAGCCCTTCAAAGGAAGGAAGTGCCTTTTCCAGGGCTGACCTACCCAGCCCCCCCCCCCCCCCCCAGTCCTGCTGTCCAGATCAGGAGCTTCCATTCAGCAATAAAGAAAAAGAAAACGCAGCCCCACCAGAGCTGCATGTTGCTTGAGGCGAAGGACAAAGGGAAAAGCTGGCCAGCCCCACAATGCATGCAGTGAGCAGGTCCGCCACGAACCCACAGCCACGTTCTGCCCCCCAGGATTTGCTGCCGTGTTCTGGCACAGGGCCACCCCTGCTGAAAGGCCACTGAATTCGTCCCCCCTCCTCCCCTCCCCATTCCGTTCTCGCGTGTGTCTTCTCTTTTTAGATCCTGCATCCCGGGGCTAAAGGCTTCCTGGTTTTACTGATTGCATGTCAACCGTTGGGGAGGCTTTTTGCCTGAGGAGTGGCTTGAAAATGCCCCAATGAATAGATAACGTTCCTATCTGAGTGGGAAATGTGGGGGCGGAGAGTTTGTTTGGGAGTGTTCAATCAGGCAAGGAACCGAAGGGATAAATTTCGGCAGTTTAGTTCACAAGCGAGCCCTGTGTTTGGAAGGTTCTGTGTTTGGAAGGCTCACATGTTGTGCAACAACTGAAGACTTGGTTTGATTATGCAAAACAGGTCCTGCGCAAAGGGTAGGTTAATTAGCTCACGATTCACCGCAAACCGGGTCATTACGCCTTTAGCGCTTCGTACTGCTGTTGGCCTGGACTCTGGGTTTTATGGGCTGAATTCTGTTTTAAGCTTTTAACGGCTTTTATATTATGTTTCATTGCACGGTGTTTAAGGATTTTACTTCTTCGAACCGCCCGTTGGCCTTTGGGCAGTGCAGAAATGCAATACCATCCACAAAGAAAGGGAACTGGGGGCGTTTTCCCCTCACGGTCCCCATTTGAGGAGGCAGCTGCTGCCCCATTCCGGGGCTGAGGGACCAGAGTCCCAGCAAACCAGCCCCTGCCTTGCTTTTGGGAAATGTGAACTGAAGTGAGGCCTGGGCCAAACCTTCCCTGCATGCAACAGCATTTCAGGACTCTGAGTCACAAACCAGGGTGCGAGCCTCATGTGGAAACTTGTGAACCGCTGAGTAATTCGTGCCCCAAATAAAATCGCCCCCTGAAACTTCCGGCTGCCAAGTTCTGATTCTTGGCACGATGGGGCAGTGCCTGCAGCGCAGCCTGCAACACTTGCATCTTGCTCCCATTCCTGCTGACCCAATTAAGCTAATCTGCCCTGTGCCAAATAATTAGTTTCTAAAAAGAGCCATCAATACTAGCTGGCCCACCGCTCAAAGGTTGAGGGTACTGCTTGCCCTACTTTCCAGGGTGTCTCTTTGTATGGTCTGAGTTTAGTCTACTTCTTATCAGCAGTGGTGAGAGGGGAAAGGGAGCCAAGGGAAAGCAAGGTCACCGCAGGTGACACAGGACAACCAGAACACCTGGTGCCTTCTTGAAAGGAATGGCCTCATACTTTTCCTCTCTTTTAAATCCATGGTTGGACCTGGAATTGCTGGTCTACCATAAGAAATATGTAAGATTTAAAGGAATCCCCACTGATGGTGTACCTCTGAATGAGTCTCTGTTCTGAGCCAGTACCCTTCAAGACAGCCTCCTCTGGGAGACAGCCCCATAATTCTGCCATGCTCCTGTGGCAGATGAGATGGGATCATCCAGTTGTTCCCTAAACAGACACACCACAGAATCAACTGCTTGCAGAGGAGGCGGCCTGTCTCCCTCCGAGTGCGCCACTGCTCCTTCTAAGCAGCCTCCACTGGGGAGGTGAGCAAGTCTATCTGCCACTGGATCAGATGATTCTGATGCCAGAAAAGCAGCAGATCTGCTGCCCTAAGAAAGAGATTGCCCACTGTAACCCTGCATGAGTCAGCGCTCTGGGATTCTTCCTGGCCTGGCCCAAGACAGCAATTCAGGAACCAACATGAAGGGTGGGTGCTGGTCATATATAACAGCAATATCCAAATCCCATCTGGGAGTGGTGAAAGTACAGTAATCTGGGCAGCGACTGTTCCAGGAGCAGAAAATGCCACAGACGTGGGAAACTGCAGGAACCTCCTCACGGGACAAACAATAACGGACACACAAATAGAACAGCCCCATCCTAAAGCAGGATGCTTCTTTAGCCGTGAAATGGAAGCTGGTCCACACGAGTCCCTCTGGGATCCAGATGTGATCCTCCCGATTTAAACAAGCGAACAGGGATCCCTAAATGCCGCCCCCCCCCCCATCCAGACTTCCCCAACTTGGCACACTGCAGCCCTGTGAAATGCAGTTCTCAACATCCCTCAACCAGCTAAGGGTTAAGCCCTCGGGAGAAGGACAGGCTGAGGCATGCGGGCCGAACTGGATAGACGCGGGATTCCACGTTTCAGGTCATGTGAAAAGATGTGAGGCTGGGCACCAACTCTGCGCCGAAGAAGTGTATTTTGCGAAACCCTCGGAAAATGGAAAGGCTCTGTCAGCGCGAAGGGAATCGGCACGCAAGAGAGGCCCTGCTGGGGCTTCGCTCCCTCTCCGGTCGCCCATCAGGCCCCACGACTGTCACGGTGCGTCAGGCACTCCTCCGTGGCCAGGCAGTTTGGGGCGCCGCAGGCCAGCCTGACCCTGGAGCCAAGCGGTGCCTCTGCTCCGTGTCCCTCTCCCGAGAAACCTCCTGGCGGTGCCGACTTGCAGGCAGGACTCTGTGTGGCTGGGCTTCTCCAGGCCAGCTCCAGGCTCGGCTCAGGGCCAGCTGATTTCATGACTTCTGCCTTCCCCAGCCTCCAGGGCAGGGAACAGTGGCCACGGTAGATGTTCCAGGAGAGCAGGAAAAGGAAAAGGCAGGTGGAGGCGGTGCTCAGAAGCATTAAAGTGAACAACGGCCCCCGGATGCTCTGGGGTTGCTTTTGTCTAGCTGGGCTCCCCGGCTTCGGAGGCCCTCCAGGCTTGGTCTTCGGCAGCATGGACCCAGCACGCCTCCGGGTTGACTGGTCATGCTGGGAGGTCACAAAACCCTTCTCTTGACCCCGGGGCTCAAGCAGGTACGCAGCCATTGTAACACGGAATTCTCTTCCGCCGGCCTTTTCGACAGATTGGCACTCGTAGAGCCCGGCATCAGCCCCCGTCACATTCACAACAACCAGCCCGTGGGTGTAGAAGAGATATCTGGCTTTCCCCGCCCGCAGGTGGCTCCCATTGAGCATCCAGACGGACTCTGCGAGGTTGGACAGTGGGCTGCAGCCAAGATGGGGGCTGCTCCCAAGGGCGACGGGGTGCCTTTCTGGCTTTTTTGCTGGAAAAGAAAGCCAACATTCAGGAAAGGGGGTCAGGATGCATCCCGGAAAAGCATTGCTGTGTCTGTAAACATTTTGCTGTGCTTCTCTCTGCTGACGAACAGCCTTTGCCAGCCTGAGAATGGCAGCACCAAAGGGGAATAAATCCACACAAATAAACCAGAGCAGTGCTCTGGGCGGGAGAGGAGTACCCTGGCTGCCCTGCACCCAAAGTCTCTCGCCTGCTTCCGGTCTTGTTCTTTGCCTCAGCATCAAGATTCTAGTCCACATGTTTTAAAGACCTTTCCCCCCCTGTACCTTATTTCGTCTCTTGCCATTCTCCTTCTTGCTCCCACCTACCGAACCTTTTCATCTTTCCCTGGCATTCCTTTCACTGCCCCCATATTTCTCAAGCCTTGAACTGCCTTTCTCTCCCACACGCCTTGGGAGTTCCTCTGAAGACTCTGATCAAGGTATTTGCTCCAGAGAAGAACCACTGAACTGCCTCGAAGCATTCCTCTCTCAGCCTCTCTGCTTTCTCTGCCACTCTCTGTCATTTATATCAATGCCTGTTTGGCATCTGCTGCAGCCGGAGGACTCAGTCCGTCACAGGCATCTCAGTCGGCCACAGTGCTAAAAAATATTTCTGCTCTGTTTGTTCACCCACCCAAAGACCCGGGTCCCATGCAGCTTCGGAGCCTTTCCAGGGAATGGCTCGCACAGGGAATTGCTCCAAAACTGACAGAATCTTGAGGGCTAGAAGTGCAGCTTTTAGACATCAAGGAGGCGGATTCTCAAGGGGCCTTCAGCAGCGAGCACCTGTTCATTCTGTTCAGGGAAAACACCTCCATCCTAAATCCACTCGCTTGGCTTTTCTGAAGCTAAGCCAATCGAGATGTGCTTACTCTTCCTCAGAGGGGAGTTGCTAATGACTCTTGATTCTTTCGGTTGTCCTTTCTGCCCCCTTTCCAGCTCTACAAGGCCCTTTTTTAGATACGGCAGCCAGAACCATACATGGCATTCTAAATGTGGTCAGGCTATGGACTTGTATAAGGGGATTTGGCAGCATTATGGTCAGTGCCGTGACCCTCGGAAACAGACCAGCCCTGTGCCGTCTCAGAGCGGCAGAGAACAAAAACACTGGGAAAGGTCTTTGCAGTGGTGGCACCAGGACGCAGAACTTTCTTCCACCAGAGGCACCCTCTCCCTTTGTGCAAGTTTTCCTAAGCAACGTTGGCGTGAACATCCTCATCGTGGACTCCCTTGTCCCAGTGTTATGGCATCTGGGCTGGGCCGCCAAATTTCAATATTTCATTAGACTAATGCAGAGGCCCCAACTGGGTGGGGGGAAGGACGGCGTGACAATATTTCAAAGTATTCCCTCAACAGCACTCTGACGAGTGCTCAGGTGTGGGCCACGGACAATGTGTGTTTGCTTATTCATTACTTCATTCTATTTCTAGGCTGCCCCATAACCCAAGGGTTCTCTAACGTTCCGGGTACTGCAACCCATGTGCCTGTAGCCCACATGGAACTTGTTCCTCTTTCCCAGCAAGAGAGCTCAGAGATAAATTCTGCCTTTCTCCTCCAACCTCCCCGCTTCTGCATCTCGTGGTTTTACAAGTGCTGCTTAAAATGTGTTGCACTGTGGTTCGGAGCTCCTGAAATTTTAATGCGATTTCCGCTCTTTAGTATTTGCCGTCTTGTAGTGGAAGCAGCGCTCGGCGGTGGCGGCACCAGAGATCCTGCTACCAGCCGCTGTGCCGCTCGTTCCCGACATTTGTTCCCACACGTCTGGGAATTCCCCGGGTTCAGCCCAAGGTGAAAAATTAAGACGCAACCCTTTGGCGGTGACGTCTCCCAGAGGGAGTGCACCGGACCTCATCCTCAGGGCCTTCCAGGAGCCGAGGATGACTGAGACTTAAAGAGCATGGCTTGTGGATTAAAATAGGTTTGTCTTGGTGCAGCAGCGAGACAAAACCACCCAAGGCTTCCATGCAAGGACTCTGAGCATCACGGTCTCTGCATGGATTCACACGGAGATGAAAGCAGCAAACCGAAGCGGCAATGGCACTCCTGGGTCTATTGGAGGATGATTGCTTGGGGGCGAGGGGGCCCAAGATGTGCCCACTGCTGCTTCTAATCAGCTCGTGGCCCCACATTTGGACAGAATAAGTGCCTGGCCCCATTGAGGGCGAAGAAGCCCTCAAGGGAACGGAGGGGACAAGTGGCCAGGTGGGGCGGGCGGTGGCCACTGGCACAGCCAAAGGTTTTGGGAGCAACGATGCAAGGCGTGTGCATCTGGAGGGGGGGTTTAGTGGGGGGGATGCTGCTGTTACCATGGAGAAAGCAATTTCCCTCTTCGGAGAAGAGGGATGTTGCTTCCGTACCCCCTCCCAGGACATCACTGTTGCCAGGCAAAGTCGGATGCCAAGCCGGTTCCATTGAACCAGCAAAATGAAAGACCCGGGCCGGTCTGTGCGTTGCGCAAGGAATAACTTTACTGTCCAGGCCCAAGGATTCCTCAGCTTCCACAGGATGCTGACCTGTCCCTTCCGCTACTCTGCTCCCTCCCTGACGAAGCCATTTTGCTCCTATCCATAAATAATGGAAGTATGTGAAAATCCCCGCTGCCCTGGTCTCAAGAGCTATTTTTCCACACCTGTTGCCGACATTGGCTTTTCCTTCCCGGGCAGGCAGGGCTCCTGCTGTTAAGCACCACGGGGTCTCCTTGCCCCCTCCCCCTGCCGAGCCCACATTTCCTGGGCTGGACGGATTTCCTCCTTTGGGCCACCTTCCTGGCCGAGGCACCCGCTGCCACTCGTCTCACTGCGAGCTCCGTGTGTCTTCCTGGGGCACTGGTGGGACCCTCTGCTCTGGGGATGGGGCCCCCTCAGGTCCAGGCATCCAGCCAAAGCAGCCCAGAAGCGAAAGATGCGGGATTGCAGGGCTAATCTGCGGGACACACAACCGCCCCTCCTCTTGCAGAGCATTAAGTTAGGGTAGTTCAGCTCTCCTGGCAGGGCTTTTGCGGATGCAGCAACTGGGTGCAAAACACACACCTCCGTGAAAAGAATAAAAAAAACCCCCTTCCCCTACCGAAAGGAGGGCACCTGGAGGCATCGCTGTTCCTGAGGCTCTGAATCAAGTCCCTGGTGGGGGCGGGAGGTGGGAGAGAAGAGAGAGACAGATAAATTCTTCACAGAGACATGCAATTGCAGCCGGGAGTTGCTCCACGGCCTCTCCCTGCAAGCATCTTCGCCCGCCCCCTCCCTCGCTCAGCCTTGGCATCCCTGGAATGACGCAAAAGCTCTTGGAGCAAGGAGCCCGTGGCTCACAATCCTTGCGTGGAGACTGTGTGGGCCCAAGGCCTTGCCGTCAGCACTTCTCTTGACTGAGGGAGCAGGAGAGCGCTGCGCTCCCCCCACTCCCCGCTTCAGTCCTAGGAAGCTCTCCTTAAAAGACCCTTGTGGAGGAGAGAGCTGCTGATGCCCCTGTGGCTGAATGCAAGTGGACGCCATACTGGAAGATACCAGCACCTTGTATTCCGTGGTGCCCCCTACGTCTGCGGTGCTTTTGGAAGAGGGTACCCTACGGTTTCAGCACGGGGGGAACAGACGCCATTCTGAGATGAAGCCTGGCCTTGCTCAAGGGGTTGACGCTGAACCAATACCGGCCCTCTGCCTTTCTATCCCATGCCAAAAGCAGTGGCGAGTTGCGGTGCTTTTCATGGGGCGGTGGAGAAATGTCGGCTGAACTTTTACTGGGGTGGAGGATGGGAGGGGCAGTCCCTTAACCAGGCTGCCAGGGGAGCCCCCAAGGCATTCTGCCCTACCCGTTGCAGGAACGTGGCAGGGTTGGGGGCTTCAGGTGTGCTTTGTGCCTGGCCTGGGTCCTGGGAAAAGGGTTTTTCTAGGGTTAAAGTAAGGGGAAAATATCTCTGTCGCCCACTCTTACAAGGAAGATACGGGAAAAGCAGGCGGTTGTGCTAACCCACACCAAGAAACAGCTCTAGCAGATTCTGTCTCCAAGAGCAGGAGGGCATCCCTCTGGTCCTCAGGTCCGGAGCTGCCATCCCCACCCCACCAAATACTTTGAATTACAACTGGGGTTCCTCACAGTGACAGATTTTTGTGGTGCAAATTCACGTTCCACAGAGCTCTTTTGAAGAATGCAGCTCGGCTACCCAGCGAGTCAGCACATCCCGGCACTGCATTCCTGCAAGCCCAGTTCCACTACACCACCACGGACGGCTGGGATACATGGCGGGCTTTCCTGGACATCATTCGATCGAAAGGCGGGGAGCGAGCCTTCCCAGGCAACAGGTATTTATGCAAATGCTGCGCTGTCGTTGCCTTGTGCTCGGCCGTTACTCACCATGGATCCCTCCGTCGATGAGCCGCCACGGGGACGCAGCTGGAGAGAGAGAGGGACCAGGCACAGTAGGGGTCCCTTGCCAGGATGCAGTCCACGCAGTGTTTGTACCACCGGCAGGTCGCGACCGGGAGCTGCACTAGCTGGGAGGGAGACGCCGCGTACAAGAGGCCCTGGGCAGGACAGTACCGGGCAATCAGCCTTCCCCCTGCACTGAACCAGATGCTACGTGGATGCGGGCAGAAGGGCAGTCGGGAGAGGGAAAGGAAAACGGGAGAGGAGGAGGGAAAGACGTGTCTTCTCGGACAGATGCGGTACCTTTTGGGGGCCCAGCTTGAGCATCTGCACAGGCTCCGGAGAGGGGAATAGCTGGATCCCTTCCACAAGGAAAATCTCTCCCAGGCAGTTGAAAGCTTTATGCAAATAGCCCTTATCTGCACCAAGGGAGACACATTTAAGTCTCAATTACAAGGAATTCGGGTGGGCTGGGTGGGCGAGAGAAGAATGCAATGCAGCCAGAAGGCGCGGGGTGGGGGGGGGGATAAATGGGTCAAAATCAGTGGACATCCTGAATTAAACCTCCTACCCACACCACTTAACTTGTCCAGTAGTGGAGTCAGGTAGGCGTAAGCATCTCAGAAATGGAACAAAGGCGAAAGAAAAGGAAGCTGAGGCGCCTGTAACCAAGAGTCCGACTGAAAGTTTTAACAGCTGGCTGCCAGCTCTTGTATGTGCTGCTATACAAACATTAGGGAACCGCATTGCCCGGAGATGTGGTTAAGCGGACCACGTCTTGTGGAGTTAGGAGGAGAGCTCTGGGCCAGGGTTGCATGTGGCCCACTAGATTACCCACCCCCCCGACTTGTGGGTCTGGAGCCAGCATCTCCAGAATGGAGAGGGGACAGGTCTGACCAGCTTGGCTCCTTCGCCCTTCTTGCGGAGGGAAGGGGATGGAGCCACGGAGCTCTGCCCAGCTTCACTCTCATGTTCCTGAAGTGGGGAGTGCCGGGGGGCTTCCGCTTGGGCCAGCTGACCCCTCTCAGCCCAGCCCATCTCACAGGTTGTTGCGAGGCTACCGGGAGCTGAGGCTGGGAAGCGGATTGTGTTCGCCACCCTGAGCTCTTTGGAGGAAGGGCAGGAAAATACAGACAGACAAACCAGCTCTGAAATTGTTCTTGTGTTGGAGGAGACACAGCTCAGCATGGAAGGGGAGGCGGCCCCAGAATTACAGGCCTTTTGTAAACACCTGGAAATGCCAGGGATGCCTCCTGGGCACCAGGCTTGTGGCGGCCACTTCCGCCTCATTCTCTCTCTCTCTCTCACCCAGACCTGCCTGCACGCAGAGAAGTTACTCTGGGACTGCCACGGAAGCAGTCTTACCTGTCCCTATGAAAAGAATGTCATATGTTTCATTATCTAGGCTGCTGGTTCGGTCCACCACAAGCTTTGTGTACTTTGCACCTCTCTGCAACAAAGCTGGCCTTTGGCCAATGGGGGTCAGCGTGCTGTCCATCAGAGGGTGGTCACTGGCAAACTGAAGGACTCTGTCCGGCAGGTCAAGGGAAGAGTTGTATCCCTGGCGTTGGGCAGAAAGGCCGACACACTGCAAGACAACACACAAAGGCAGTTGCAACACATTCCAGTAGCAAACCACGTATTGTGCTTCTGCCTTGTCTGTTCTAGAGTTATGAAGGGGTTTCTGCCCCGGTTTTTAAACCAAAATGCTTCAATTGGCCAAACTTTTCCTGGTTATTCCAGATACATTTGCTCACACCTCATACTCCTGGCCACTTAACTGATCCTATTTGTACACCACCTTCTTACCAAATAATCGGTGTGCACAGAGGTTTGCAAGTGCAACCAAATGAAACCCATGCATTTGGGATGCAATAAAACACACTAACTACAACAGAATTCCCCCATGCTACAGTCTGTGCAAATGCTCATGCAGCTCCATGATTCCTGGAACAGCGCTCTCCAGCTCAGTCTCTTCCAGATGTTTCAGTCCACAACTCCTAGCATTCATCACCACTGGCCTTGCTGCCTGGGTCAGATGGGAGTTGAAGTCCAGAATGAAGAAGCTTCCCCGGTTATTCCGAGGGGCTCTCTTCTCAAGACCAGAGAGTGTGTGGGAAGCTGCCGTAAGCCAAGACTATTTATCTAGACCAGCCCCAGTTCAGTTTGAGAGGCAGGGTCTTCAGAGGGGAAGCAGTTCTTCCCATCACTCACGACCTAATTCTTTTAAGCAGAGACCAAGCCTGGAGCAGCAAGTGCGCAAACTGCTGAGCTGTGAAGGAAGAGTTCTCCACAGTAAGATGCAAGATGCAGGAAAGACAGGCCTGCAGACACACAAACGAGCATGGCCAGAAAAGACACTGCTGTTTAACAGGGGGAAAGGAGACTTACAGCACCAGGACGAGGGGTGGGGATGTCTCCCCGGTATACCACCCATTTCGTGTGGGAATCCTCCATGGCCAGAGGGCCTTTGAAGCTTCCTTTCTGGAAGGTGTCTTGAACTGTTTGCATCCTGAATATGCAAATGGCCGAAATGTCCAACTTTCCCCTTCAACAAGAAAGCACAGTTAGTCATGCCACAGACAGGGGTTTTGTTTTGGTTTGGGGCTTTTTGGCAGTTCTGGTGCATCTCTGCATCAGAAGCAACGGGTGGATCAAACTGGATACAGTCCAATTTACTGCATAATGGACATGTTGTGAGCAGAGCCGGCTGGAGCTGGGGGTCAGGTTAGATGGCCTGGAAGGCCCCTTCTGCATCGCTCAGTTTCTATGTTTCTAATTCGGCAAAGATGTCCACGTACCCCCAGTTGAGGCCAGCTGAAAGGGAGATGAGGCCAGAGCAGGGAATCATGCAGGGATGCAACAGGAAGCTTCCCCTCTAGATGCATAGTTTGGGCTCAGGGGAGCCATAGGAAGCTGCCATTCACTGAACTGTCTATCCGTCTGCCAGGTCCAGCCCTGTCACCTGGCAATCAGCCAGCGACAATGCAATCTGGGAAGACCCAGCGGGGGTACTGCAGATCTGGCTGGGGGGGGGGGGGCGTCAGGAGTTGCCAAACCTTGTCGAAATGGGCACAGGGACGCCTCCTAAGCTGTGGGTCTGGAACTGCCTGCCTGCATCGCCACCTGTCATTCCCGACGAACAGAATCATGTCCCCCTGGACCTTCCGCCCGGATTCCCTGGTTTGAGTCCCATAGTGTCTTCTGGGGGCCCCGAAGGGCCAGCTGGATGTGCCCCCTCATTAACTCTCCTTCCATACTGGGGCGCAGGCGCTGCTAAGCCGAGCCCCCAAAGCTTCCAACATTTTTGTGCTCGGCAGTGCTTGCACATACGACTTCAGGGTGGGGTAGGCTAAATCTTTCTTACCATTGCTGGGTAAAAAGCCCATAAAATATGGTCTGGTGCCTTTTGGTGGTCTTCAGCACAAATATATCCTGAAGGACGTTGAACTGGAAATCTGATTCCGGGACAGAGCAGGCAAGGGTGGACTTCAAAAACGAAGTCCATCGTTTTCTCAGCATGCGCTTCCCACCAAGATCACCCTGTGAGTTTGTAAAAATACCTGTCATGCTCCAGCCACCAACTTTCAAATGCTACAAGTTTTTCTTTTCTTTAAAAATATTCATTTAAAGCTTTTCGAAACCATTCAGTTATCAAGCAGCTCTCAGAATGGTGTGCAAGACTTAAATTAGTTATTAATTAGTGTTTGTTATTGCTTGTTCTCTTTTGAGAAATTTGTAAGCTCGTTTTAAGCACATGTAGATGTAGAAAAAACACATATGAATTATACCGAAGAGCACAGCCATCTGGATTATTAGTATTTATTAAATTTGTATCCTGCCCATCAGTCAAGAAGCCTCTCTGAATTGTCGAGATTCAGGCTTTTCCAGAGTAGCGAAAGACATCCCAGCCCGCTTAGTAATTCCTGCAACAGCGAAACAGATGGGCTGATGGGTCTTCCACAAAAGAAACAACTCCAATGCCATCTGTACAAGAGTATGTTCAGTTCCTCTCATGCAAAATTGTGTATGCTGCTCCACAGACTTCCCTGGAGAAAAGCTACATGAAGCATGTTGGAACAGCTTCCTTTTGTGGCACAGTCCGTCCCTCCTGCTATTTCTGTTGCTTTTTCATCGCCTTTCTCGGGTTTTCCATTTTGCTGGACTCCGATATGATTACGTTCATTTTAAAGCAGGGGAACCCGAGGCAGGGGGCACTAAAGGGATTATGGAGGCTGTGGGGTTTTCTTGCTCCCACACATTCCTCCCATTCCAAATACGCGGCAGATGTCGAGACACCCTGCTGTGGAAATCCTGGAGAATAGAGAATAACGCTGGAGAATAACGCTGGAGAATAGAGCAGCCAGGGAGAGAAGACAGAGGGAAAGCGAGGGTCAAGGATGAGCAGTTTGTCGAGGCAGGACTGGAGTGGGAACAAGAAGGATGCAAGCCAGGAGTTAGAAAGGGAAGACACACGCCAGAGGCCGGAAGTCTTGCCGGTCAGGCAAGCTTTTCCCAGACAGGAAGATGCCTGCAGCCTTTCCTTTGGGTTCCTTTTGTAGGAAAAACAATGGAAAGGCTCATAATAGTGAGAGATCAAGGGATGCTAGATAGGGAAGGGAGGCTGGCAGCCACACAACACGGCTTCCACAATAACAGGTCCTGCCAGACAAACCTTGTGGGATTCTACAACAAGGTTTCGAGGTGGCTGGATGGAGGGGGTCCAGTGGATGTGGTTTCCCTGGATTCCAGCAAGGCCTTTGGCAAAGTGCCCCATGATATCCTGGTGGAGAAACTGAGGAGTTTTGGGATAGACCAAAGCACCGTCCGGTGGATTAGGGCATGGTTGACTGACCGAAAGCAGAGGGTAACCATTAGCGGGGAATCATCGGGATGGCAGCCAGTGACAAGTGGTGTCCCCCAGGGCTCTGTCCTGGGGCCGATCCTGTTTAATCTTTTCATTAACGACATGGAAGAAGGGGTGAACAGCCTGCTGATCAAATTCGCAGACAACACTAAAACTGGAGCAGTGGCCACAACTGAGGAGCAGGTACTCCAGATCCAAAAGGATCTGGACAGACTATGGAAGTGGGCAGGAGGCAAGAGGATGGTGTTCAATGTGGATAAGTGCAAGGTCTTGCACTTGGGGCACGGGAATGGGTGCCATAAGTACAGGTTGGGGGACAAGTGGCTGGAGAGCAGCACTTGTGAAAGGGACCTCGGGGTGCTGGTTGACTGCAGGCTGAACATGAGCCAGCCGTGTGATGTGGTGGTCAAGAGGGCAAATGCCACCCTTGGTTGTGTAGCCAGAAGTGTGGCTTCTAGATCAAGAGAGGTGTTACTGCCACTCTACACGACTCTGGTGCATCCGCAACTGGAGTATTGTGTTCGGTTTTGGGCCCCTCGTTGTTGTTGTTAGTCGCAAAGTCGTGTCCGACCTATCGCGACCCCATGGACCACACTTCTCCAGGCCTTCCTGTCCTCCACCATCCCCTGGAGTCCAGTTCAGCTCACACCAACTGTTTCAGTGACCCCATCCAGCCACCTCATCCTCTGTCATCCCCTTCTTCTTTTGCCATCTATTGTTCCCAGCATCAGGCTCTTCTCCAGGGAGTCCTTCCTTCTAACTAGGTGGCCAGAGTATTTGAGTTTCATCTTCAGCATCTGGCCTTCTAAAGAGCAGTCAGGTTTGATCTCTAGGACTGACCGGTTTGATCACGTTGTGGTCCAGGGGACTTGCAGGAGTTTCCTCCAGCACCACAATCCAAAGGTCTCAATTCTTTGGCGCTCAGCCTTCCTTATGGTCCAGCTTTCACAGCCATACATTGCAACTGGGAAAACCATAGCCTTGACTATACGCACTTTTGTTGGCAGGGTGATGTCTCTGCTTTTCAGTCTGCTGTCTAGGTTTGCCATAGCTTTCCTCCCCAGGAGCAAGCGTCTTTTAATTTCTTGGCTGCAGTCCCCATCTGTGGTGATCTTGGAGCCCAGGAAAATAAAATCTGTCACTACCTCCATTTCTTTCCCATCTGTTTGCCAGGAAGTGAGAGGACTGGATGCCATGATCTTAGTTTTCTTAATGTTGAGTTTCAAGCCAACTTTTGCACTCTCCTCCTTCACCCACATCAAGAGGCTCTTTAGTTCCTCTTCACTTTCTGCCTTTAGAGTGGTATCATTTGCATATCTGAGGTTGTTGATATTTCTCCCAGCAATCTTAATTTCAACTGGAGATTCATCCAGCCCCGCCTTTCTCATGATGTGCTCTGCATATAAGTTAAATAAGCAGGGCAACAGTATACAGCCTTGCCAAACTCCTTCCCAATTTTGAACCAATCAGTGGTTCCGTGTCCAGTTCTCACTGTTGCTTCTAGATCCACACAGAGGTTTCTCAAGAGACAAATAAGATGGTCTGGTATTCCCCACTCTTTAAGATCTTGCCACAATTTGCTGTGATCCACACAATCAAAGGCTTTAGCATAGTCAATGAAACAGAAGTAGATGTTTTTCTGGAACTTCCTAGCTTCCTCCATGATCCAGCATATGTTGGCAATTTGATCTCTAGTTCCTCTGCCTCTCTGAAACCCTGCCTGGGTTTCTGGTAGTTCTCGGTCCACATACTGCTGGAGCCCAGCTTGTAGGATTTTGAGCATCACTTTGCTAGCATGTGAAATGAGTGCAATGGTGTGGGAGTTTGAACGTTCTTTGGCATTGCCCTTCTTTGGGATGGGAATGTAAACTGACTTTTTCCAGTCCTGTGGCCACTGTTGAGTTTTCCAAATTTGCTGGCATATTGAGTGTAGCATTTTTACTGCATCATCTTTTAAGATTTTGTATAGCTTATCTGGAATACTGTCTTCTCTAGCTTTGTTGTTGCTCAGACTTCCTAAGGCCCATTTGACTTCACCTTCCAGGATGTCTGGCTCGAGGTCAGTGACCTCGTGGTTATCAGGGACGTTAAGCTCTTTCTTGTTAGTTCTTCTGTGTAATCTTGCCACCTCTTCTTAATCTCTTCTGCCCCTGTTATGTCCCTGCCATTTTGGTCCTTTATCACGCCCATCTTTGCATGAAATATTCCCTTCATATCTCCAATTTTCTTGAAGAGATCTCTGGTCCTCCCTATTCTATTGTTTTCTTCTATTTCTTTGCACTGTTCATTTGAGAAGGCCTTCTTATCTCTTCTAGCTGTTCTTTGGAATTCTGCATTCAGTTGGGTGTATATTTCCGTTTCTCTCTTGCCTTTCGCTTCCCTTCTTTCCTCAGCTATTTGTAAAGCTTCCTT